TTTCCCAACTTCAAGAATTTGAAATCCCAGAATCTCCTTTCGCCAGAAACATTCTCTCTGACTGTGCTTAAAATCGATCATTGAATCAAAAAAAGAATCAAAAAATTAAATCCCAATTTAAAAATATCAATTGCGGCGGTAACATACTTATAAATTTTATTCTAAACGTACTTACATTATATGCAGTATTTTCGTTCATATGTAGACAGAAAATAGTACCAATCGAACGACTCAAACAATGGTATTTTGCCCGTAAAGTAGAAACAAGCGAAAGTCATTTTGTAACTTTGTGTTTTTGCCTCGTTTTGAAATTAATATGAAATTTCGTTCAGTGCATTTTTAATTGTATATGCCCCGGGAATTACAATGTAAGAAGGGTCTTTGTGGTCATATCCTGACTTCAGGTGGCACACACGGAACAAATGTTCTCTAGAACTGGTTTATTCAGGAATTCTTTTTCCAGTGTCGCAATTTGCCTCTCTTGTGTATTGTAGTAATAGCAGGCATGGGCGTAGCGCTATTTTTCCAACTAGTCTAGTACGCCACCACCACAGGAACAAGAGTCAATAATCAAAAAACAAGCATTTAGGGGGGTCTCGGGGTTCTCCCCCAGGAAAATTTTGAAATTTGGTTGTATTTGGAGCAAATTTGCAACCATCTGGTACGCCTGTGCGTACCCAGCGTACCGGGCGCTACGCCCATGGCAGGACCAAAGTCGACTTTAGACCGGTGTACGAGTATGTAAGGATCATGCACTTTTTGGCAAGGATAATGCGTGATTTCCTTACAGTACCTGTATGCAAGTGGGAATTCAGTTTATTTTTTCCAACAAATAAGCAATAAAGACATAAAGTTAAAGAGGGGTGGGGGATGTTGGGGGCTTTTTTGGAACACATATATAATATTGCTTCATTCATGGCTGTATATATTTCTCCATGGGCTTTCATGATTTCTCCATGGGAAAGCCCATGGTTTCTCCAATCATGGACTTCAAGTAATGTTCATAACAAAATTATAGCTAGCCTCAATCAGAGACATATAAAATTGAGTGATTATATTGCATGTTAATATCTAGAGTTCAATAGATTTATTAAGTGGTCATAAAGATAAGCAAAAACATTATTTGTTGAAATATTCTTTATTCAATCGATGACATCTAAACATATTTTGTTTGCAAATGTACAATCTCACATGCAAATGTAAAATATCTTAAAAAGATGGCGCAATGTACTATATGTACGTCTAACTCAAGTTATTGCTCTGTAGTATGCTACACCCCCTTCCATAAGTTTGGCAACTGGAAGTCCCAGTGAACAGTGTGCAGAAACCTGTTATCTTCAGGCTTTGACATGAGGTACTCTTATTTTCCAAACTTTTGAAGGGGGTGTACTTGTATTAGTACATGGCTCAGGATAACAAACATACAACATTCATTCCATTCTAGTTTATATACAACATTGCAATAATACTTTTACTTGATTTTGATTTTTAAAATTGGAATATGTATTGCCGCTACTGTAAATATTTTAGCCTACAGCTACAACACTTTTATTTTTATATCAATCCAATCATATTAAAAAACCACGAGAGCAGTCAATCTTTGTAGTTTTATTGGAAGAAAAATGAAGTAAATGATTGTGTATGCAAGTACACAAAATATATGATAACAATATAGGATAACGTAATATAAGATGATAACATAACATAAGATGATAATGATAAATATATAACATAACATAAATGCAGCACCAGGCTTGCAACCTAATTACAGATTAAATAAAATAAATAATAATATATACAAATTCTAGGGACAGACTAGCTAGGTATATAACATTATTGGTACCATTGGTACCAATTAGTGCCTCTTAGAAGGAATACTACTAAATGGTACCAACAAAAAAGTAATAATTTTCATAGAAAAATATTGCTTTCAAACTAGGTTATTCCGTGTCTTAATGACTAGACTACTGAAACTCTTTTGAAACTTTTTTGTTTTGCATATACAGAAAATTAAAAATTAATGAGGAAAAACTTACAAATTCAAGCAGCTGCATAAAAAAAACAAATTCAATAATTCATCATATACACATGTACATGTATGTGCATCTGTAACCAATGAATAACATATATGAAATTACAAAGGCTTCATGTAACTAACTTATTGCTGTCTATACTACATGAGTAACAACATCTGAATATGGCCTAGAACTGTAGAACACATGCTTCCAAAATCTCACTTGGTTCAGTGAATCACAACGTACCTAGATAACAGCCAGATCCTGTTTGAATCTTTCTTAAGGTTAGTCATCACCAAAGTGAATCAACAAATATATGTATATGTATTATGTAGATCAATAACAATAACCTGTGAAAATATAATGATCTGTAATATTGCATATAGACAGATCATTTACAGTATCATCAATTTGGATAATTTCAACAATAGACCTCTAACATAGTGACATTTGCTCAAAAATTAATTTTGATCTACTTATGAAGGCAGCTGAGGAATATGCTCTAACAATATTCTGATTCATAGCAAGTGGGATGTAATAGCAACACTTAATATCTTAATAAGTCCTGGGGGCCAGAGTAATTAAAGCCTTAGCAATTATTTTGTTTTCGAAGAAGGATCATCATGAGGATTTTTATTTTACTTGCACGTTGGATTCAAACGCATTTTTCTATCAAAATAGGAACTAAAAGGTTGTTTTTAGTTTTAATATATGTTACAGTGACTTTATTTGCACCAATTTATGTAAAACTGATATTCAATCTAACCAGAGTAAATTACGACAAGTGAAAAGTACTGTAAACCATTCATCATTTCAACATTTCTTATCTCAATGTTCATTTTATTTCAAAATGATCCTGATTCAATACTTGAATTCAAATCGCCATTGTATCATAAAACTGTTAATAATTTTCAATAATTTAAGCTTTTAAGAAGATAATTGTATAAAATAGCACTTGATTCACAATATTTCACATCTATACTTTTTATAAAAATTTATATGATCGAGCGTTTGAAGAGCTCCAATGTCGTGCATGATGACTTTCATTTGTCAAATCTATACCTTAAAGTGGCACTATAATCTATATTAGACAACATTTGACAAAGTCATAAAAATAAGGAAATTAGAAGTTGATTTTTCAAAGGAAATAACTTTGAAACTTGGATCTACTTTTCTCAAATAGGAAATCTTAAAAGCTTTACCTTCTGTCATATTTCATGAAAATTACAAGTTTTATGATTTTTCATCAAATAATGGGATACAGCTATCATTTAGTAAAATTCAAAACATTTGTTTTTTATATGAATAAGGAAAGTTTTCAGACTCAATTCACATGATGGCTTAAACAAGATATCTGTTTCTTAAATCGTACCTTTTGACTAGATTATTGTACATAGGTCTCAGTTCATGTTCTAAACTGTTTATTTATATTTTTGGATTAAAAGCTTCAACTTTATTAAAAATTAAATAATTCCTGATTGCACATTTCTTTCAAAATACATGCTCTTAGTATGTTTGTTTATAATGACACAGAATGGAAAAGTGTTTACAGACAATGCATATTTAAAGATTCATTTAGCAATGAAAATTGTTCAAAAATTGTATTTAAAAATCTTAATAATAAAAGGTTATTGAGTTGAACTAGTCTTACACATCAATATGGACCAAGAATATTTATCGCAAATTATGAACATAAAAATATATGAGATCGTTAATTTCTGATATGTCAATCTTTTTATACAGAAGAATGTGTAGATTATCTTTTTGAGATCGATAACTATCAAAATTAAATATGAGGCAATCATAGGTTGAGTAATTTGGCACTATAAATTCCCCATATGGCAAAACCTAATGCCTTTATGAAGAAATATAAAAAGTGTGATAAGAAAAAATGATTGCGTATGTACCTCTATATTATTCAAAGTGAATTATAATTTAACATTTAACATTTAACATTTTTCAATAATCAAAGAAATTTCTATATGCTTACTGTTTATCAACAAATTGTATATTTAACTGAACAAAAGTTTTTCTTTGTCAAATACACTGAATGCCCCTTGGGGTATTGTCCCCACTTCACAGTAACTTAATTTTGATAATTTTCCATATTAGAGTATAAGACTACTAAATAAGAACACTTTAGGACCTATAATGTTATATTACTGTACATCTATTTAGAAATATCCATATGAACATATTTTTGTTCTTGCTATGACTATGAACTACTCTAAGCTAATAAATATTTCTCTAATTAATTACATGTACATTGACTGACTATATTGTTCACTCAACATAAAATAACCCGTTTCAAAAATATTTTCGTTCCTTACAAAACTGAACTTTGCTGCTATATAAGCAAAGTTCATACTTTGGCTACATTGTACAAAATTGGCATGCATGATTGAATTATAATAAATATATATACACATCCAAGCGATTTATTTTATTAGAAATATTGAACTGATTTTGGAGTCTCCCTTACCTTATAAAATGTACCAATTTGGTAACCATACATTTCTATATTTAATATTCAGGGGGTCATTAACAGAAACTTCGTAAAGTTACGAATAAGTAAATCAATTATTGTAACTATGGATATAATGATGTCACACTTAGAGAACAATGGATTTTATGAATTCTTAACTTTAAGAAGTTTCTGTTAATGCCCCCCTGAATATTTAAATAACTTGATTGCAAGATGTAAGGATGGAATATCTAATTCCTCACATAGCTTCATTATTTCCAAATTTTTCAAACAATGAAATGCATGATGACCATAGAGTACAAGTGTGAATAAAGAATGATGGACTACTTTATCATTCAAAGATACTAATGTACTTATTCAAAACTGTTTACATCATAAAAATTCTAGAACAATACAAACTACTTCAAAGTTCCAATAAATATCTGGAAAATCAGCAGTGAACTTGGAAAAAACGTCCAAATTTTCATTTTCAAAAATTGCTTAAAAATGTATATTGAACAAGTGTTATTTATTTGGCTATATTTTCTATAAAAAGTCACTCATCCTTTATCAAAGCACCTTATATACTAATATCAATGATTACTAATTAAGGCAAGAAAATTTTGGAATGAGTATTGCATTTTCAGCTGCTGATTGCCATTTAGATTGATTACAACGTTACATTTTGAAATGTTACCATTTTGTATTTTTAGTTCTATTTGGCAATAATACTTTTATACAATCTACCTCCTTAATGTATGACAAGAGGTCATATCCCAGATGCCCCTGTTTATCATGTGATCACATCTGACCAATAAGTGAAACTGTGTGAGTATAAAAAGGAGGAATGAATACATCAGATCTGTAAAAAGGTCTACCCTCGCATGTTTCGTTCTCATGCAATATAAAATAATCTTCACAATTTTTCCAAGAAATACTGAGCAAACAGTCTCGTATATAATGACTTGTATTCTACTGTTCCAATATTCCCCAGAAATATTGTGATTTTTTAAAATCATCTGCAGAGGTTCCAGTCAGATTGGTAACTAGAGTGCCATGAGTGTAGGAGATGCCATATTGTTATCTGAGTTGTTGCTGCTATCACTTGAGTTTCTTTGGGCTTGGCTTGCACATGATGGACCAGCTATAGGTGTCAGCCCAGTTGATCCATCAAGCATAGTCTCAAACCCCAAAGTGAAAACACTACCAGGAGTGAGTGCTGATCGGGCCTGGGCTTTAGTGGGCACAGATGTTGAAGTAGAGTTGGCTGATGATGCTGGAATAGGAAGTGTGTGGGGTCGCGCAACGGGAGCTGCTGGAGCTGCCATTTTCGTTTGAGTCATCGAATTTGAACTGACTTCGCTACTACATGTGCTACTAGGACTCAAAGCATCATACTCGTCCCCTTTCATGTAGAAATCATCATGTTGAGTCTTAGGTTCCTGTTTAACGATCACTGATACACTGGCAGAGATAGGGGTCGGGGTGGGTAAAGGCTTGCAACGTACATCTTCTGGGGCTTTACAACTGGCCTGATGGGCTTTCAAGATGAATTCATACTGTTCCTTTTGTTGTCGAAGTTTCTCTATCTGATCCTCTAAGTTATGTTGTTCATCTTCTAGAACTTCCGTTTCCTGAAAAATGTTATTGTAAAACTATTATTATACTGCATATTGAATTGCAAAGACACAAATACATCTTTGTGACGTGTGACCATAATTTTCTATAAAATAATTGTTAGTCATATCGATGTAACAACTTAATAATCTGAAAAACAATGTATAGGTTGAATTGTTTGTGTGAGTTAATGGTACTAGATATACTATTACCAAGAAAAGAGGAACTTTCACTAAATTATGCTCCAAGCACAATTTAGGTGATTAATATAAAATAAGTCATGATTGTCTGAAACTGCAAATCAATGCAAATAATGATGAAACTAATGTGCCTCAAATCAAATAATTGACTTAATCCCATATGAAACTGACCCCTTTCAGAATTAATCCTTAGATAAAATACTTGTCTGAACCCATCATTGATTTTCACAAAAGCTGGTGTGTTTGGACCTGCATAATTTTGAACAGGATGACTTCAGGCGAAGTGTCTTCGTAAGGTGACATTTAGTCATATATGAGTTTGTACATGTTTTATAGGTTATTCAAATCAGTAACAGTTGTGCCTGATGATATTGGTACCACAAGGAAGAAATTATCAACACACGTTGCTGGTAACCACAAATCTGACCCAAGGCACATGACCACAAGCTCTCGTAAAAGTGCAAACAAAACACTTTTGCTTAATAACTTGACTTAAAAAATACATGACAATGACCCCTGAAAATTATATCAAGATGATATTCATTTGTTTTTTTGAATGGAATATCATGTAATTTTGCAGAAATGATGAACAATATATGCTCTTTATACATAAGTGGAATGCTGTCGGATTTGTCTTTGTTCACAGATATGCAAAATCAATGAGAAGTTTATGCAGAATGAACCAAATTTTCTAAAAATCCTGAAACATTCATTAACTGGCAGAACTTTAAATTGGAGGAAAAAATAATTTTCTTTTAATTTAAAAATTACTGCTCATTTCAAGGATAGGGTTCAATAAGTGTGTCACTCTGTGGTACTTAACTAAAGATAATCACATGATCTGGGTCTAAATATGGCACCTGCTATTCCTGGGGCTTCTACTGCTAGGCTCGTGACCAACTCATGACAAGAAATATACTCTTTAATTATACATCACTGAGCCAATATTTTTTAAACAAAGCAGTCCCATTGCCAAATATTCAAATTAAGAACTGTATGATATAAAGTTACAGTTTATTACATATTTTACAGATTTAACTTCATAATTGTAGAAATATTATCACAGCAGATACCCTTGGAAAATATTTACTTTAAAAAGCTTAATTGAGGATGTTAATCAATCAGGCGTTCACATCACATCTGTTTATGTTTAAACAAAAATACCTCTGAATCGAAGGATAAGCCAAACAATATTTTTCAGTACTTACGTCCATAAGTTTATTTGTGAGGTCCGTTCTACGCTGGCGACATCTAGCCGCAGCAAGTTTGTTTCTTTCTCGTCTCACTCTTTTACGATGTGCTTCTTCTGGGTTGATCTGAAGTAATATTAAAATACAAATAAGCGTTAAGCACAATGCAAAGCAAGATCACACTTAGTCATAGCACAATCACCAATTAATAGCACAATCACAAAATCATTGAATGTAATACAGCGTAGCTATTTAACATATTCCACATTGAAAAAAGAACAACCCCTAGATGAGAATAATGGAACATCCTTTAAATTAATTGCTTTAATTGGGTGGAGCCTCGTGTGTTGTTTAAAGTATTCAACTATCAAAGCAGCCGAGAACGTGTCAAACATTCCATGAGTTTCAGTATAGACATGATTATGCTAATTTCTGTTTGGTAAATATTTTAAAAATGTCAACCATATGCATATTTTTGGAACAATGTCAAATGAAATAAATTGCAAGCTAAATGAATCCCACACATAAAAACTAAAAGCTTTGGAACTCTTGGTTAAAACTTAAAAGATTACATACGGCAAAAAAGGTTACGATCAACCCATCTCAATCTCCGAACAAGTCAACATATTTTTGTTCAAAGTGAACATAGATTGAAATTGAAACTAGAGAATCAAAAACATGATAAAAAAAACTCCTCCACAACATGCTTTGTTTACACATTTGAAAGCCTAGTGATTTCGAAAATTGATATTTTAAACCTCTCAACTTGAAGAGATAAGATGATCTGACACCCTTGCAAATTATACAAAACATCACAGTTGTCAAAGATACAAAAACTATGATAATCATTATTTCATATTCTTCACACGGTCAATATCTCATATTAATAAATTGCTCAGAAGACAAATATCTTAAGTTTTAAGGAGGTCTTGGGTAATATGCAGCTTAAATACACAAAACAAAGGAGGAAATTGAATCTGTTTGGCTGCAAGGGTCATCATGAGATTATCTCAGGGGTGATAGGGAATTGCTAGTTGAGTGCTTCGATAGATTGTTTAGTTCCCTTATTGTCTAGTTAAAACCAGGTAAACACAGAGCCTATCTAGAGTTCAAGTAGATTTGCAAATAAACTTATCTAAATATGACATTTTCAAAAGGACTAAATAATTATCGTGAAGAGGCGGAACTTATATAGTTCCCTTAGATTGATGCTTTATGGCTAGTTATTTCCAATTTATCATATAGTTTCAATAAAATCATCTGTCAACTCAAGAAATATTTTTCTATGATTTCAAATAATTGAGAAACGATTGTGCCAACTTGCACTGTTGATTGTTCCCATTCTGAATTATGATTGTGCCAATTATGATTGTGAATTATGATTGTGCCAAGTTGCATGATCTGAAAGTAAAAGGCACATGCACAATCAAATCAATTTTCTAGAAAAAATGATCCTAGATGTGCCTGGTAAAACAGATACTGCCTTTTGACTTAACTTAACTCTAATGAAGATAGATTACAATGTTTTGGTTTCACTTTGACTCATCTATTTTTATTGAACTTGGCAGTAACCATTCAAACCCTAGTTTGAGGACTGAAAATAAAGAAATGTATCTTATATCTAATATCTATACCAAGGACACATGTACTCTCATTACCCGGGGACCCATGAACGTTTCTTACAAATTACTTTTTAAAATAGATCTAGGATATCAGTGAACTAGGTTAACAGTCTGAGGGATGATCCATATCTATTTTTCAAAGTGATGACCTAATCCCAAAGTTTGTGAAATAACAGTGAGATATGGTGTAATAATTATTTCACAAGAAACAAAGTACATTTCAATGTTGTAGAGTATTGTATTTTTGATATTGATGGGAAAATGGTATAATAAAAAGTATGACTGCATTTATAGTAATTTTCCTTTCTGATTTTTTAAGCTTGTTTGTTGATCTGGGGAAACCTCCTTCTTAATTTCTCATAAAAAACTGGATGTTACGTCCTTGTAATCTCTCTGGTATCAATGTTTGTGGTTTGGTCATGTGCCATAGAACATCACACAACATATGGCATGGAAAATTGAAACCAACCAAAATGTGTGGTTAAAAATATAGACAGGGATTGAGGATTTTGATTGGGTTTAGACGAGGTTAGGATAGTGATAAAAAAAAGAATTTCAAAGTGACATTTTCTTGACACTGTTATACTTTTTCAATTTGTCTGATTTTTGCAACTGAGCTGAGTTATCGGTTTTGATTGGGGTTAAAAGAGGTTAGGATGATGATAAAAAAATTTAAAGTGACATTCTCTAGACGCTGTAATACATTTTCAATAAGTACGATTTCTGCAACTGAACTGAGCAGATTTGTTAATAGAAAGCTTGTGCAAAAAAGGTTACCATGTTCCAAGAGCTTAGATCAAAAATTATTCGACATTATTACTTACTTCATCATGCGGCCTTCGACTGATGAAAGTCCCTCGGATTTGTGGCATGGCCATGTTTGGACGCACCATGGCAACATTTCGATGTTGATTATTAGCATGCTGTGGCATCCACTGTGAATTTTTACCATTGTCATAATTATTGTATCCCTGGGGCTCCACCAGAGGGGGCACAAACCCAGAGCTTTGTTGTGTGTTATTGTTTGAAACGATTGGTTGCAGATCAATGAAAGGTGCTTCAAAGTTTGGCAGGCTCGTCTGCGCTGAGAAACTGGGTGTTGTTGCGGTTGCTCCACTTGTACACCCATACGCTGTTGAAAACTAAAAATATAAAGACAAACATATCATAAATCAAAGTACAATTAAAGATATACCAAGTAAGAATAAATAAGTTTTGACATTAATTATAAGAGGTTAAATCTCTTGCCACTAGGCTAGGACCCGTGCCCTAGGATAGTCAAAACTCATAACTTCACTTAGAAAAGTGTGTGTCAATATCAATGTAGGTTGAGACAGCTAAACAGCAATGATAATCCATGAGTGATGTTTTATTGTTAGATAGCAGATGTGACATACATGATTGTTCATATAACGTTTAGCTTCCATCATGGCTTGAAATGAAAAGTGGTCTGCTCCAAAGATGTTCCTTAAACTTTTATAAGTTGTTCAGTTTGAACTAAACCACAATTTGAATCTTACAAAAATGACTGTGTCATTTGCCTAAGCGCTTAAATACAAATTCTAGTAAATCCCAAGTTTGTGATGATCTAAATAATAGATAACAATAAAAAAAGGAAATAGATCTTGTAAGCTTATATTGATCTGTTGCAATAAAGCGCAGTGACCTCAGAATGTGATTTCCAAAAATGATATAATGCAATTAGTGTTGTGTAGGTTAATGAATCACAAGTGAAAGTATAGAAATGTGGGTGGGTGGAAAAAGTAACATAGGTTTATATGAACAAGTAAATGATAATGAATCAGGGAGTGAACAAGGAAGTGAAATAATTCATTGTTTAACAATTCATGTCAACATGTGACTTAACCTTGAGGCCTTTTTGAAAGGACATGTATTTTTGAAATTCTTGAAAAACATGACTGAGTGACCAATATGAGACAATATATTGGTCGACACTATTTTCCTGTATTTAGAAGATTGTCCAACTGTATACCATTGCAAATATGTGTAGGTTCAGAAGATGTATAATTGATCAATATCATTTGTTTACTTTGACGTTGATTATATTGTTACCTAATCTCAATTAGATTATCAGTAAATGAACGGAAATAATAATTATATGCTCATCAGAAAAATAAACAAAGTATCACCATGTTGGATGATAAAAGTTAGAAACAAAGGGTCTTTGAAAGCCATTATAAGCAGAGTGTGTGATGTAGGTTTAATGGAGGGGGTGCAGATTCCTCAAAATCCAACTTAATTCACATATATATCTGATGTATATCTTTCCAAGCAAAACATTTAATATCAAACAAATATTTTTTTTGATATTTTCAAATCAAACATATATTATTTTGATATTTCAAATCAATTATATGCATGAAACTGATTATGTGATGTAAGAGATTGTTATTTGTCAAAGTAATATTTCTACTTATTGCGTTTATATTGTTTGTACCCTGCATAAATGGATCTCTTGGAATTTGGCATCCCTGTCTGAACTAACATCACATTCCTCTCTTGCTGGTGGCCCTAATTACCCTAATTAGCTATTAGAATTAATTATGATGCAAAAATCTACAGATTTATTAAGGAATGCCCTCCCCTATCTCAAATGTCCACATTCAATAGAAAACATCCACTTCCAAATATTTGAGAATTTGGTAATGCTATGCGCAAATAAGGACACACTTCTATACGAGAGTTGTCCAGAAAGTATTGACATTCAATTTTGCACTTGTTCTATTTATTTTTGGTCACCCCCTGTATAAGCTAACCAATATGAAAGTGTTGGATTTATACTTAGAACACATACTTGTCTCTATTAAGGTTGAACATTAAACACTTGAAGACAATTTTGTAATTACTTAATCAATTTGATAAACAAATGGAGTGTGCCTGTGTTTAAGTATTTTGGCTAATTTCTATGCAAAACTTTAGGTGACGTAAATCTTAGAGAAATCTAAGCTGAACACAAAACTAAAATAGTTTACTTTATGAGGATGGATCCAAAAGTTTAGTTTTCCACTTTTATCATGTAATACATAAATAAAACTGTTTGAACACTCCATGAGGAGCATTGATTTTTAAATATTTTGTTTAGTTAGATGTGAACTTTACCTGGTTTTTTGATATTGGATATATTTCTTTGACGTGCCAGTCAGTTTAACAAGAAACACGCTAATGTTTTATTTTGCAACTTTAAACCAATGTTTATAAAATAAGTTAAAGTGGCAAGAGCTTGCTAACCCAGCAAGACTCTTATAGTAAGATTTCATAAGGTCATACAGTTTCCAAAAACATCATAAAGATTTGAAAAACATTTTACATTTGTCTAAAATTCAGGGCTCTGGGATCGATTCATGCTGTACAATTTTCAAGTTTGTTAAATAACATCTAGATGTAATTAATTTTATATATTGACAGATAACTGATGACTGTGTATACTTGTATGCAAAAGAAACATGAAAAAAATTTACATGGTGACCTATATGTTGGAGATACTAACACGAGAAGGAGTCAATAAAAGAAATATATAACCCTTCCTTTTGAGTTGTGTTATAAGGTTTAAGATCAAACTAACCACAAGATGTGATTTATGATGATAGCCAACCATCAAGACTGCCAGTGATAACCCTTAACAAGACTGCTATACTTTGTCTTCACTCTTAAAATCAGATATAATTCTCATAGTCTGTATTAAATGAAGATATGTTTATTGAAAACACAATGATACTTTATTTTCTTCATAATAATAGATAGCTGAAATAATTCTTCATTATAAACTAAATTCACTTTATATCCAACATCCACTGCCCTGAAGGCTGAGTCCAGTGCAGATGACGCTCTCTTTTAAGTGAAATAGGCAAAATCAATCTATTGGAGAGAAAAACAATAGGGGCTTGGGATAGTCTATGACTGTAATGGAATCCTTGAAATTTCAATCTGGGTCCATTTTCAATAGTTTGAGTTTGCTTATTAAAAGAAAGCTTCACTTTGACAAATCCAGCTACCCAATCATAATAGCACTTTTGGGGTCATTTAGACTTATAAGCATCAAAACTGAACATTTCTCTCAAACATTTCTCTCAGAGCCTAATACACTGGACTCTAACACTCAGGGTATATTGAGACATCCTAATTTGTCCTTTACTGTATGGATAGGATATTGTAGGTAATCAGACATGGAAATGAGACTGATCAATGCAATGACCAGGCTTACAAATGAGTTAGTCTTGCTTCAAGAAGGTGGACCCCCCCCTGTATCTACTTCACTAATACAACATATTGTGAGGTGTGTAGTGGGGGGGGGGGGGGGTTCACACAGGGGCTTGTAGCAAGACTACAAATTTATCCTGCACATTTTCATACACTACTTAACCAGCAAGAAATGTTTTGGTAGCAAATTGATTGCAATAATATTCTGATGATTTCAAGAGGGTCACCGTAACCTATACATCAATATATCAGAACATGCATAGGAGACATTTAATGATAACTGGTAATATAATGTGACAAACAGAAATCAATATAGTCTAGTCCCATTCTGCACATGCATCAAGAACCAATATACATACACAGGGAGTCCCTATTGGTTTGATCTGCCATTAGTCTAGCAGTTTTGCAGATGCCAATAAGATCTTAACGAGCTCTATAAATTTTTAGCTGCTTTCAATGACTTTATAATTTTATTTGTATGAGCTTTTTATGCAGTTGGTGGGTTGTTTTTACATTTACATGCTTAGTTGTTTCAGTATTTAGTATACAGTACAACATGCATTAACTTGCAAAATTTCACCATCTACCATTCGTAAAAGACATCGTCCACAAAAAAGTTATTGACTGTAACAATATAGTGAATATACCACCATTTGTGGTGGTGACATTACAAAATAGACAAATAGTTGATGATTCGAAAAAATGCCTCATTTTTGTATATATTTGTAGCGATGCCAAAGACTGAGTTGCAAAATATGTGATCATTATAAACTTTCATTAGTGGAGGACACTTTCAGTTGACAAGAGAAAAATCAATCAATACAACAGTATTGCTTCTGGCTCTGCCATTAAACTGCAATAAAAGCCTAACTGATTGATGTAACATTTAATTTTAAATGAGGAGTCAATAATCAACTCCTGATGAGAGTTAAATGTTTGTGAAAAATTGTCTCCTTTACATGTTTTCAGAAGACCTTTTAAAGTCAAGATGTCACTCTTGAGTAAATCATAATAAAAATATAAAATGTTGAAATATTATATTTAGAAGTTAACCAAGATTGCCTTTGATAACTTCTATCTTTAAAATTAGTTTTTTTACTTCATTCAGAAAAATCCATTGAAGGGTTTAATATAATATTTTGTCACAAGGGAACATAGCTCCAGTAGCTTGAGTGTGTGGAATTATTTCTCAGATCCAGGACCAATATTGCTTTATATTGTTTGCAATGACATTCTCACATTACCCCAAGCATAATGGAATGTGAACATAAGGGTAGAATGTTCTAACCACAAAATTGTTTTAATCCAAGCAATGTTTTCAAATCAAAATCAATGCAATGAAATAATCATGCTTTTATTACCAAAAATAAACATCAAGCAAGAAAGTTTTATTATCAAGAGAAAAAATGAATTGATTTGTTTAATTAAATAATAATTCAGATGATACTGAAAATACTATATGATGTTAAGCATTAACTTTTAAATAAAAGTAGCAAACAGACAAAGGTATACACTAAGCCTATTTTTCTTTCAGCCAAGCACTATAGTTAGTAATTATTGGATCAGCCCATGCTGTATAAGTGGCCCAGAGTGTTATATCTGCTCATAACTATAAGGATTTCTGACCACAAGTATGGGGGACATGATTATAATTAAAGCTTTATGCCTGCCACCAACAGTTTAACATACCACCAATACTTTAACCACATATTTGGAGGTCAGATTTCTCTCCATTTTAAAAATGTGGTATGGTATAATAAAATGAAGGCCATGGTCACTGATGAAAATTTTATTTCTGGATTTTATTTCCATCCAAGAAGCTAAAGATTCAGCACAATAATTTGAAATATGATCAAGTTCAGACTGCCATTTGTATTTTTTTTACTCAAGTGGGGTGGAGGGGGGGGGGAGTGGGGCTTGTACTGTATTTTTTCTATTTTTTTGATGTTACCCCTTCTTTAATTTATAATACATTTAATGTGAGAAAAATGTAATGATCAATTTAGGAAATAAATGCTTCCATAAATGTAATTAAATAATTCACGAAAACCTTTTTTCATAAAAACATCATATTCATGGTCAGTTATCATAATTCATCAATTTTGTTGCCATGATGATGCATAGAAACCAAAATAAACCAGTGATTCAATCCACAAAATGAAACCATAGAACACTTATAGCTCTTACCCGGGATCAGGAATAAATTGGAATAAATTAGGAAGTGTGCCAATTGGTCTCAACATGCATATAATATTGAACTCCCAGAGAAGAGAAAATGCTGCAGTCATATTGAACCAATAAATTGCTTTTGGTCTTCCCAGGTTATTTTGCATGTTTGATATTTGGGAAAATTGATTCACTCATTAGTAAAAATATAAAATATGCATATGGTTATTATTCTAAAATGGCACATTTAAATATTTTATTTTATGAATTTTACAACTAATTTTTATCACAATACAGTAGAACTGCAGAAGCGGCATTTAATCAGATCAAATCAACATTTCAACAAAAGTTATGTAACCTTATTATTTTAATCAAAAATGGAACAGTTGGCAGAATAGCAAAAATCATTTGAACAAAGCTCGCAAACTGATTATATTTTGCAATGGTTACTAAATATAAGCTGCAGTAGCTACCCTACACACATTTGTAGGAAATATTGGAAACACCATCTGGCACAAAAATAAAGCATATTATCTTATACAGTATGAATAGATGTGAATGTGGCCTTAATACTTGATAGGGACATGGATTATCATGAACACGTATATGAATAATATATCAGAGCTTTTTCACTTTAATTTCGCAATTAATATTGAAAATTCAACAACAAAAAATAAACCTACATATTTTTCACGTAAAGCTATGAAGGGAATAGTATAAACCCTGGATATTTTTACATATATTTTCACTTTCAGCAATTAATGGGCAAACAATATTCATACCATGCACTTTATGCATAATCTTACTTCATTCATTGGATATACATGTATGCTGGCGATGTGGAGTAACTTGATTTGAGATATAATATTTATATTTCAGTGTTCATCACATAAACGTTAACTTGTAGAATTCATTCAAGCGAAACCATTTCTGAGTATGAGAAAATTATCTTTTTTACATGTATATCTGCAATAGAAAGAAATGGAAAAGACAACATCCATAATCCAGACACAAAATATTGTAATCTGGCCATGTCCAATTATTGTCACATATTATTATGGCCAAATAGTCAATATAGTTTATCGAAGTCTTTGAGACTGAAATTCTCTGTGACTAAAAGGATAAAGTTTTGCACAGACTTCTACATATAATTCATTGTATGTCTGCTAAACTCCTTTCCCAATCAGCTATGCAAATTTTTGATATGACAGCTAAAAAAAGATTTTTCACAAAATTACCTTTACCATCCACTTTGCATAACAAAATCATTCCCACCAGCGGATCTAGACGGGGGCGTGGGGGCACATGCCCCCCTAAAAAGTCAGAAAATTTGTGTTTTGCCTCATCGCTTTTTACAAAATTTGACTCTTCGCTAACAGTTATTATCACACCCCCCCCCCCTAACACAAAATCCTGGATCCGCCCCTGATTCCTGATATTGAAATAAACAAGAAGGTAACTCGTTACACTGTGATGATTTTGGTGTAATGATAAATTCGAAATTCCAAAAATGAAATCTTACATATAGTAACATCTTGTCTTGGTAGGATACTTTAAAACTTTTGTTGCTTTGTTTATGATATTTCGTAAGGCTTTCGTTGCAAACTTGATTAGTTCCGAAGGGAATGGCACGACAACACCTTTCTAAGTCAATCTTCAGCACTTAGGAATACAATACAATATAAAGTGAAAGTACAATTTGAAATTGTACAGGTCCAACAAAAATGAATTCAAGGATGTCTTGAATTTTCATAATGATTCATAAAAACTTACTGAAAGATCCTGTGGAACATCATATCCTCCAGTCTGCGCTGTTGTCTTCATATCATACTCTGGTTGGTAGCCAGGAGCGGGTCCACCCGATGGATAGTGAGATAGATTCGCTGTCGGGTTGTTATTGTACATATTTGTCAAAATCATGAAAACCAAATCAAGTGTCAGAAATCCAAAAAACGTTGGAGTTTCCCGGCAAAACTTTCTCTAAGTTAATCGTCGTACTATGTGACTTCAGCTTATAGTCCGTATTATGTGGTAGTACTTCCGCGTTCTTTAAGTCAATCGCTATGTTTACAAACTTAAATTGTTCAGTTTAATCTTCTGACCGAGCTAAATCGAGCCCTTTCATCGCTGTCTTTTTGAAAATGATTGGGAAACTCCTCGGTCAATTTATTTGTATGACTAAGGATGACTCATACTTCTAAACTTTTAACCAATCAACGTTTACTACGAGTCACGTGGTATTCTGACGTCAAATTCACTGGAAAATCAATCCTCTACATATTCAAGGGATTTCCCATCAATATCTCGGAATTAAAATGATTTTTTCAAAAAATGTCAATGAAACCTTCATTGTGTATAAAACTGAAACGTAATAAAAAGTTTGAAATCTAGTTGTTTTGTTAATTAACAATAGTTTTTTAACATAGTATAGAACGTAGTAGTTTTGACCATATATGGTCATCAATTAACATATGACTGGATTTACTCCGAAAATGGTGAAAGGGGCGTTACTATGGGAGGAGCATGTATGATGATTGCCATCTAGAACAGTCTGCACTTCCAGGTCATATGAGTGCAAAAGGATTCCCCCTAGGGAATGTTTGGAGTCCACAAACTTCAATAAAGAAAATTATACTTTTCTGATTTATTTAATATCTGATTCATAAATACTTTAAACACATTGTTCATATACATTATTTGTGACATTTGGTCTAATGCCCAATTCATATCCAGGATGAGAATACTGATGAAAATGGCAAAAAGTACCTTCAATTAACAGATAAGGTTTGTTAAGTTGGACTATCAAGAGTTTTGACTTACATCAGAGTCTGTAGGATTAAACAATCTCAGATATAAAATAAAGGCCTACAAGTACATCTGTGCACCTTTGTCAGAGAGTTCAGCTCATTTCTTTTGTCAATTTTAACTAAATTTTGAACTCAACAATTTAAAGTGTAATTTCCCTTGTGCAATCATGGACAATCATTGCAATCAAGCATGTACTGTGACATCTGAATAGAATTATACATACATGTACAACATTTGCATCATATGGTCTTGCATCATGTCTCTGGACTCCCTCCCCTCACCATCGTTTTCACCTCTAGCATGAGAGGTGTGGAATAATAAGGGTAACTGTAATACCAGAAATGTGATAAATATATATTACAAGTTATATCAAAACTCTATCAGGTGAGTGTACGGTCCATTGGTCACTATACTTAAAACTTGTCTATTCCCATATGTTCCGAATTTCAGTAATTTACTTCCCTCCGAACATTTAGCATTTGATTTCATAGATAGTTCACATTGCTCTATAAATGCACTGTAGAGTTCCTGGCCCTTTTGTTTTGCAACATTTCCATGGTATTGCATTTGCTTTCCTTTGATCTTCCCTCCAAGTGTGGCTTGAGGTATTATTAGTACATCACCAGGGAGATCAAGAATTGAAGTATATTTTCCATCATCTGATTCAGAAAGTTTTACACCAAGGATTGTCTTCACTAAAAAAGTGGAAATACGATGTAAGCTAATATTATAATGTTCAATAACTTGCATTCAAAGAACAGTGATATTTCAATTGCTATGCTTTTACAAAAATGTTAATTGCATTCAAAGAACAGTGATAATTCAATTGCTATGCTTTTACAAAAATGTTAATTGCACAAATTGTATATATCTTAAAAGTTAGGTAATAAGAAAGAATTTCAAAGTTCTTCACAATAATAATGAGTTAAAATATTCATTGTTTGTTGATGTCTCAAGTCAAGTGTCATTATGCGGATGCATCAAACATAGAAACAACCAAAAACAAACAACTGAAATGAACCCACTTACCCATTCTGTCAACAATGTCAACAGTTGCATCTTTCAGAAAACACAGATAGATAAGTAGCCCTTTTCCAATCTACAATGTAAGAAACAAATGCATGTACCAAATATTTAATCAATACGACAAAAGCGGCAGATAAGATAATAGGATTGACCAAAAAGAAATTCCAGCCCCCACTCTCTGTGTACCAAGGAAGAGTGGTGGACGATTCCTGGGGGTTGATTTTCCTCCGGTGTGAACAGTACAATGTACTTCCCATTGCATATTGTGTACTGTTACCCTGTGCCATTGAGATAATGCATGGAGCTCTGGATAGGGGTACATGGTGAAATTATATATTGGAGAACCTTGAGGGGAATATGGAATATACGAGTACAAACAGCTAAATTAGGTACAGGAGGGTAGAAGGAGGGGGGCTTCAATATTTTATTTCTGGCTCAGCAAAAATTAATGAACTTGAAGTAGGTTTACTATTGTAGTTTACCTCCACATATTCAGCTTCACTGGTGTCTGAGGGTGGCTTCACTTGAAGCCTAGCTGATAGACATTGCTGCATTACAACTCTGGCATTGCTCAACCCCACTGGTTGACTGTTTGATGACATTTTCTGATAAAATTTATTTCAAGTTCTTTTTATCAGGGATGCTGATGTAAACAATGCCCCCTAAACACTGCCAAATAAAAATCAATTTTGTGCAGCTAAGGGATATTTGGGGGCATTTTGTTCACAACGGTGATCGATAATGATTTCGACAGTAGCTTGACTGCCGTAAAACTATCACAACTCAAACTAATTGAATATATTGTTTTTGATTTGTTAATGATATAGATGACGTCATTTTCAAGATGTCTGCGCCCATGGGACATGACAGAAAAAGGAAAGAAATTTTAGATGATGAAGACCCGATCGAGCGTATGATCGGGAAAACTGGATGCTTAGAGAAGCACTATGCAGTTCAGGTAATTCTAGCTGGATTTATTGTATTGTTAATCAATCGAGGTATCATAAAATCTTATACAAGGTGTATCATCTCCATTATCGCCCATCAAGTTTTGCAAGATTTATGTCTGTTTGTTGTAAATCCAAATGTTTGAGTTGCCTTAAATAGTGCTTAGTTTATAATTAGTTAATATAAATTAACTAAGTTTCTGAAGCTGTTTTCCACTTTGTGCTACCACTTCGAAGGAATTATAATGACGACAGTCCCTGTGTGACGACAGCATTTCTAACAACATAATTTTATTAATTTGATGTACAAACTTGATTTCAAACAACTGATGAATAAATATTTTCTGCTCTTTCAGGACTGTATGGGGGAAAATCAAGATTGGAGAAAGTGTCAGTCGGAAGTAGATACATTCAGAAAATGTATGAGTGACTATTATAAAGCACAAAGTAAAGACTCACCACACAAGACTGCTGACAACAATGCGACAACATAACATATGATGAGTGCAGTGAATGAGAATATAAATCACAATGCGATGAATAACTTATTAACATTAACAAAAACAATTTGGGATCTTTTGACAAATGACTCACTTCACAGAAGCATTCTATTTTGGTAGCTGAATGCAACACTGATTTTGATGGAGTCCTAATAATTCCAAAACAAAAGCCTTAGAATAAAGATGTATGGAACATAAGACCTTGGAGTTAAAAGAATCTATTGACAAATGATTGACTCCATAGACTCATTCTATTGGGGTAGCTGAAAGCCCACACTGAGTATTGTGGAGTCATAATAATTCCACAAAACATTAATACCAAAACAAAGCCTTCTTTAATTCCTCTTTAATGGAATAATCCATGTTTTTCACATTTTCTGTAGATATGAACAAATTATCAAAGAATATATAGATAAAAATCAAAATATTTTTACATTTTCTAAATTTTGCATTTTGGATTATTTGTGAATATGTGGAACTACCTTATACCAGGAATTTCTTCTTTTCATACCAAGTATGCACACTGAGTTTATCTTTCTACAGTGATATAATTTAGGGATATCATGTCTGTTGCAAATTGACTGAGATTCTAGTACTCACCATCTTCACTTTCCACTGGGTCTTCAGGTCATTCTGATACTTATAGCATCTCTCTCTGTTGCATCGCAGATGCTCTGATATTTCCAGGTTGAAATGCCGATCAAAGGGGCGGGCCAAAATATTCATAATATTGATTTAAGCGGTGACGTATTGAATAAGGACCAATCAGATAAACCGAACAGGAAATACTTGATTTAGACACATAAATTTGACTAAATTTGATAAATTCCAACTGGACGAAAGAAATCCAATGAATTGTTTTCTAAGTGAGTCAAGTGACCTTCCATAGCCATCGTGAGGGCTATCCAAACATTTTTTAATGTCTTTATAATTCATACTCATCATCGTCACTTTCCACTGGGTCTACAGGTAGGAACAACTGAAACCTTGTGAATCAAGATGATTACTCACATAACTTGATGAATAGGTTCTCTTTATACATACTCTTACACTCATAAGGGATTGTGTCTAAATATCAAAAGTTAGGAAAAAGTTTATTTATTTAGGGTTGGTGTTAGAAAAGTGACGAATGTAGATTTTTTGAAAAATTCAAATAAAAGGCATATCAACAATTCAGTTATACAGGGGAGGGAACTTAAGCTTGTTTCTCAACAAAAACACCATCCCTAATGCAAAACCAGCTACAAAACAAAAATATTGACATTATACTTCATCTAGAGCATAATTTATTAAATCTATACATGTTGTTGTATAAATAATACATGTTCATTTATAAATTACAACATTCATAAGATAAAGTCACTTGAAATAAATAATGGGTTCGCAAACTATTAACTTAAATGTCAAAAAATGGCTCTGGATTTGTGTACATAATTCACAATGCATAAAACCATGTGGAATATTGTGTAATCCATGTGTACATTGTGTTCAGTTGCTTTTAAAGCTATCATTGCCACTATTTTCAAGACAGATTTGAATGATGGTTTTAAAAAGTAAAGTGCTGCCATCTTTATAATGTGTGAACAATATTATTGTTTTGGAAACTTGAAATATCATTTTCCCTGACAAGCCCGTGCTTCATCAGTTGAGAGTTGGGAGTCCTTGAAATCTACATCTTAGATTTCAAAGAAGTATTGAAATATGTAATAGTCAACGATATTGGAACTACATGTACATCAATTGTAACAGTGGTCTTCCCAGCTTTGAAGCAAGTAAGCACTGCACCCTATGGAGAATTTCAAAAAAGGCTTCTAGTCACTGCATTGTGTATTTTGACCAATCTAAGAATACTGAAAATATGTATGAAGTATGTGAACATTGAAAGGAAAATTCCTGGGAAGAACACTGTAAAAAGGATAGAGCTAAAACTTGTTAAATACAAAGCAAGATTGTGTAATACTGTATTCACAATATTAAAAAGGAATGATAAATAGTAAAGTCAGGTAGATACATGTATACTAATATATATACATGTATATATTATACAAATGCAAAATCTGTATGTCATGAAAAATTCACAAGTAAATTACAAGTTAAAATACACCTTACAGTCAAGTACATTTGTATATACTAATTTGAAAACATAAAATGGATTACTCATGAATAAATTATGAAACATGGATGGGTTTATAAGTAGATATTATAAATAAATCCATCATATATATAAGGGTTATGTACTGCGAGGTTTCGGATATGGGGTTTATCCAGAGGGAGATATGCATATCTACCTGAGGGACCGTAGGGACCGAAGGTAGATGTGCATATCTCACGAGGGATGAACCCAATATCCAAACCGACTGTACATAACTGCTTTATCCTATACCAAGTAGAGTTTTCTGGGGCATATGGCCATTTCAATAGTACAAGGTGTAAAAATAAACAAATCATTCATATGCAAAGTCATTTAATTGCATTACCGGAAGCGGGAAGATATGCACCAGAAGCGGGAAGATACGCACCTAAGCGGGAGATATGGCAGGAGATATGGAGGTCCTGGATATGGAAACCTCAAAATCAGGATATGGGATATATCTTACCAACTTATCTCCCTAAAACTCTACTTGGCATAGGATAAAACGAATTACAGTACATGTACTACATTATGGTCTACATTCTTAATCCTACTCCTAACAAAGTGAAACCATTTTAGTTCTCTTCACTTGATATACATGTACTGTAGGGTGTACATGTATATTTACATGGATATAAAGTGAGCAAATATTAAAGGATATTAAACATACTGGTATGTTGTAATACAAAACAAAACAAAGTAAATAAAATAAATAAAGTTTGACTAGCTTTCGCTAAAATATCTCAATAATTCTTGTTCTTAATGGCAAAATTGTGTAAGACAATATCAAAGAAAAATGCATGGGTGCCAGGCAATTGTGGACAAGTTTATATGAATACAGTATTCTGCTGATGCTGACACTATATAAGATGAGATATATATTCACACACAAGGTAAATAACTACTAGTCAGTACAGTACATAAATATTTCTAACTCAACTTTTTACAAATAAATTAACTTACTTATTGTTTAGAAACTATATGCATTACCAAATATACACTAAACTTTATTTAAAGTTTAAGAACTGCATACTTTGAATGAGCTAACACAGAGTAACTATTTCGCTGTACCACCAGCTAGGGCCTAGTAGAATATTAAGTATAACTAAAGAGAGGAAATTTTATGTACAGTTCATAAGCTATTAAATTGAACCCCTAAGAAAGCATGTTGCATAAACTTGTTCTCTTGGCCAAACTCCATTATTGCCATACCAAGCAGCTCATAGCCTTAAATCAACCCTTTCCCCTTTGTGTTTCCCTCTAACATGATACTGTATATGAACCTACAATGGATGGGGCACAATCAGGTAGTGGTGGGGAATCAGTGGGTGGTACAGATATAATGCTAGGCTATAGCTCTAAAGTGATAAAGCCTAATTTTTCATTTCATTGAACATCAATTAATACTTTATCATAAAGACACCATTCTGATACTCATAGCATCTCTCTCTGTTGCATCACAGATGAGAGGGCATGGCTTACCACGATTTAAAGACACTAGCATTTCTTTCTATCATATTCACTGGAAAATCTTTGATCAGTATAATATGAGAATGGGCAATCTTGTGAGAACAGTCCTTACATTTGATCAAGCCATCTCAATCATATCATTACATTCCTCTTGGATGCGTGAGTATTTTAATAAAATCCCAACAAGGCCAATAAACCAGAGGGCATTATAAACTATCAGCATGCTTACATATTTTTCTGATTCTTCAAAAAACAAACACAAACACTCCTGGGTATTTGAGACCAGAAGATTGAGCCAACAAACAGACAATTTCATTTTTACTTATTTACAGAAAATATGTAAAAAGTTTGCTCTGTGTGTTCTTACTACCGTTTAACAGCACCTATTCTATAATAATAGCAAGATGCAAAATGTTGCCACCTGCCATTTGTTACAGATGTCAAACACCAACCACCATCCACAAAAAAGTTGGAGACTATAACAATCCAAATGCCAACCTCCTGGATTTTTTCCTTGTTTTCAGGAAATTTTTTAATACCAACCTAGTAAACAATCAATTATAGTCTTTTGGCATCTACTATTATGCATATTTAACAGGATAAGAACATAATGTCAATAAAATGTCAAGATGGTATTGGGAAAAACTAGATTAAGAAGATCAGTACCAGATATTTAAGTTACCATAGCCAAGAAGCATAAACTAAATGTTAGCATGCTCTTAACCCATAACACTCCTCAATGTAAAACAATTCTCCAGTTGAAACCTTTTATGGAATAACTGTAAATTCACTTTCAAAATCTTGAGGACCCACGTTGAGTGTTGAAGACATACGCTGACATCAGTTTTAAATGTGTTCTCTTTGACACTAAATCTAAGTAAAATATTCTCTCATGTATGTTGCACATATTAGAGTAAACTCTCAGCCTCCTCTTCATCTATAGATCTACTCCTGATTATATGGTTGCTCATGTGGCCATTTTGTGTAGAGCGCTTTTTCTTAGATTGTTTTGGAGATGATTCAGAGGCGTTGCTATGGAGATCAAGGTCATTTGAACGGGGTGATTGTTCAACAGAAAATTCCTCTGTTTCACTCATGGATTCATCCAATAAACCTGAAAAAATTATCAATCTTTATATTCATAGACAAACAATACTGTAGACTACATACAAAAAATATACAGATATAATGTAAATTCACATTAACTGGTTCAGACATAAATTATTTTCTTCTGTTACTATATAGCATGGGCCCATATAGTATAACCTGTTGAAGTGGAACACCTTTGGTATCTCTTAAAGTGTTCGACTTATAGAGGCTGATTTAACATTAGCCAGTTGCTCTTGGAACTGTGAAAAGTGTTCTACTAACAGAGGTGTTCCAATTCGAGAGGTGTTTCACTTAAATGGTTTCACTGTACTTGTAACTAATTTTTGCCTGGGTTCTGGATAAGTTAAAATTTGCCAATTTAGTGTAAGGTGTCACCAAGTCCAGGCTAACTGAGCTTTTGATTTATCTTTTCCCTCTTGTACTTACATGCTTCCTTAAAAAATCCCCAGGAATACTCTGTTCGGTGTAAAGGGAATTCAGAATGGAAGTATACTATCCTATTGTGTTTTTCTAATTTAAAAATCTCTATTTTGAACTGGATAAGACAAATGTTAGATGTAGATCAGATTCTCCAAAATAATAGAAAATCTCCGTAAGTACAAAAAATACTCATAGCACAATTTAAAAACCCCTAAAATTAGTTGAAGCAGTTGTACATATTCAGATAATACAAAAGAGAAGGCAATCAATGAATTGTGACAAATTATCAATGAAATAAACTCTAATTTAGCATCAGGCTTTATCTTGTATTACATAATTACTAAAATTAACATAGTTTTAATTACATAATTACTAAAATTAACATGGTTTTAATTACACAGCAAGTAAGATTTTAATAACATGCATCACTTAATTTTATGTAAAAGTTTTCAAAGTAGGACATAAACAGTAAAGGGTCTTGTATAAATTAAAGGGGGGGGGGGGTTAGTCAAATTAATGACACAAAACGAAAACTAGCCTGTCAAACTGCCTAATGTTGCAACCAAGGCAAGATGGAAATACATTCAAAAAAAATTTCAAAAATTAATAATTCCATACTTTCATAACCAAGAGGATGGAATAGTTCCATTCGACTTGGTTTTAATGTTTCCTTTGTGCTTAATTTGTTCATAAACCAAAACATCATTCTAAACTAACCATTTTGAACAAAAATCAAAATAATGATCTTGTGAACTTACCATCCTAAACAAAAAACAAATAATGATCATGTAAGCTACTCTCCGCTAACTAAAGCAAACTCTCTACACCACAAAGTTTCAGACGATTAAAGCTAAATTGGTATATTGTGCCATCAAGAGTATGTAGTGCAATGATACTTAATGACTTTATGACTAAAGATCCAAGCTATATATTTATTTCCAAAATCCTTCAAGCTTTTAGAATATAGTCTCACAAATGGGCAAAATCAGCAATTTGGGGGAGGGGATTATAAGGTATTTAGCAAAATTCTAGGATATTTCAAGCCATAGTGAAAAGGACTAGACCTGCGTAGTAACAAAGCTCAACATTGCAATCCTCCACCATGACAACATAAAATATAATATATGCATACAGTGGAACTAGTAAACATATGAATACCAAACCAGCATCATTGTTATGGTAATGATAATATCATATATCACCAGTACCAACATGTTTTGTTCATATTTACAGCATTAAGAATTTTGTTTTTGCACAATTACAAATTTTAAAATATAATGTATACATTTAAAGGAAGCCAGAATTCAAGTAAAAATTAGTACCATGGGTACTGGGCTCACATGGTCACATTTTTGCTGATTTTTTGTTACAAAATTATTTCAAGCCATCTGTCTCTCAGTCAATTAAAATGGCTGAAAAAAAAAACGGATATCATTTTTTGCCAATAATTTGTAACAAAATTATTTCATGCAACTACTCTTTACAGTGACATGGCTTTTTGCAATGCAAGACACCTAAAATTATTTGTAAAGCTAGGAAATGGGCAAAAATTGAATTTCGCGAGACAAAAATGGCGACCATTTTGAAATCAGGCAAGCTTTTGAACCAGGAGTCATAGGGGAGTTTTTTGTATTGATGTTGAACAAAAATAACTTGAAACTGGTTGACAGAGGTTTTAAGCAAATGGTCCAAAAGAGGATTTCCCGAGACAGATGGACAAATCAATGTTAACTAAAATGGCTGAAAATAAAAAAAACGGATATAATATTTTGCTGATTATTTGTAACAAAATTATTTCATACAACTACCTTTTACAGTGACATGGCTTTTTACAATGCAGGACAGCTGAAATTATTTGTAGAGCTAGGAAATGGGCAAAAAGTGAATTTTGCGAAACAAGAATGGCAACCATTTTGAAAATAGGCGAGCTTTTGAACCAAGAGTCATAGGAGAGTTTTTTGTATTGATGTTGAACAAAATTAACTTAAAATGGGAATCCTATCGACAGAGGGTTTAAGGTAAATGGTCCAAAAGTGGATTTTGCGAGACAGATGGACAAATCAATGTTAACTAAAATGGCTGATAATAAATAAATGGATATAATTTTTCGCTGATTTTTCGTAACAAAATTATTTCATACATCTACTCTTTACATTGACATGGATTTATACAATGTAGGACACTTGAAATTATTTGTAAAGCTAGGAAATGGGTCAAAAGTGAATTTCGCGAGACAAAAATGGCGGCCATTTTGAAAATAGGCGAGCTTTTAAACCAGGAGTCATAGGTTAGTTTTCTGAATTGATGTTGAACAGAAATAACTTAAAACAGGAATCCTATCGACAGAGGTTTTAAAACGTGCCACAGAAAGTGGATTTCGCGAGTCAGATAGACAAATCAATGTTAACTAAAATGGCTGAAAATAAAAAAAATGGATACAATTTTTCGCTGATTTTTTGTAACAAAATTATTTCATATATCTACCCTTTACATTGACATGGATTTTTACAATGTAGGACACCTGAAATTATTTGTAAAGCTAGGAAATGGGTCAAAAGTGAATTTCGCGAGACAAAAGTGACGGCCATTTTGAAAATAGCCGAGCTTTTGAACCAAGAGTCATAGGAGAGTTTTTTGTATTGATGTTGAACAAAAATAACTTAAAATGGGATTCCTATCGACAGAGGGTTAAAGGTAAATGGTCCAAAAGTGAATTTTGCGAGACAGATGGACAAATCAATGTTAACTAAAATGGCTGAAAATAAATAAATGGATATAATTTTTCGCTGATTTTTCATAACAAAATTATTTCATACATCTACTCTTTACTTTGCAATGGACTTCTACAATGTAGGACACTTGAAATTATTTGTAAGGCTAGGAAAATTGGTCAAAGTGAATTTCGCGAGACAAAAATGGCGGCCATTTTGAAAATAGGCGAGCTTTTGAACCAGGAGTCATAGGGGAGTTTTCTGAATTCATGTTGAACAGAAATAACTTATAACAGGAATCCTATCGACAGAGGTTTTAAAACGTGCCACTGTTATTGACAGAAAGTGAATTTTGCGAGTCAGATAGACAAATCAATGTTAACTAAAATGGCTGAAAATAAAAAAATGGATACAATTTTTCGCTGATTTTTTGTAACAAAATTATTTCACATATCTAATCTTTACATTGACATGGATTTTTACAATGTAGGACACCTGAAATTATTTGTAAAGCTAGGAAATGAGCCAAAAGTGAATTTCGCGAGACAAAAGTGACGGTCATTTTGAAAATAGGCGAGCTTTTGAACCAGGAGTCATAGGGGGGTTTTCTGTATTGATGTTGAACAGAAATAACTTAAAACAGGAATCCTATCGACAGAGGTTTTAAAACGTGCCACTATTGTTGACGGACGGACGGACAGACGGACGGACGGACGGACAGACAGACGGACAAGTGAGCGATTGCAATAGCTCACCATGTGAGCTAATAATAAATGAGAAAATCTGATTGAAATTGAACTAGCCCCCACCAAGACATCATCCTCTAAAGCAGGTGTCCAGGATCCGTACATCCTACACTGGATAATGGAGTCCTGCGAGTGGAGGATGCGAGAAAGTATGAAGAAAACCATAAACAAAAGCATACTGAATGGTAATGATCCCTAATTGGGATATTTAGGACTCTCTACTTACTAGGAAGGGTGCGCTCTAATACATAATAAAAACACATCATTATGTTGTACTCAATCAAGATAGTTTGCATCTAATCATAAATAAACTAGTTTTCAGTGCTTCAAAATACAGCTATTATACATAACAAATCATCTAAACATTTGCAAATAATTACGATACTAGAAAAAACTTATTTTAACCAAGATGCATTACTGTTATGTTTGTTACCATATTAGGTGGTGATTTCCACCAGTCCATGTGTATCTAATAGATTTTGCAATAAACATATGATGAATAAATTAAAACATCATCACATTTTTATCAAAGGTGTACATGCTCTTTACTAAGATGTATTTTCCAGGGGCGGATCTGGGAACCAACAAGGGGGGGGGCCCAAACTCTTGGTCTGAGAAAAAAACTTCAGCACTTGCGCGGAAAAAAATTTTGGGCGCCAAAAACCCAAAAGTGGGCCCAAATTTTGAAATTTTGTGGCCCATTTTCTTCAAAATTTGGCCTAAAATTAAAAAATAAGGCCTTAGAAGGCCGATTTATGACCAAAAAGGCCTACTTTTTGGGACCTTTAGGCCTTTTTCGGCTCAAAATCTTTTTTGGGCACAATTTTTTTTTTCTGGGCCCACCCAAGGGGGGGGGGGGGGGGGCCCGGGCCCCTGGGCCCCCCCCCCAGATCCGCCAGTGTTTTCCGTGTGATAATCCATGAGTTCATGGTGCACACAACTAAACATGAACAGTTGCTATAGCGATCAAATCATTTTTAGCATATTTCAAGCCATAAAGAAAGGGATATTTCAGTATTACATCAATGCTTTAATTTGCAATCATTTAATTTAAAAGACAAAACATGCACTGTTTTTTCACTTATTATTGCCATTGTAAAGTTTCTCATAAAACAGTAAAATTGTTTGTATTTGTGTTTGCTTTTAATAAATTATCACTTCACAAATTTCCATGCTGAATTTGACAGCATACTGTAAACCCTTTTAACATGAATGAGTCACTACAGTACACTAAGGAACAAAATAATGAATTGTGGTCCAGGTATGCACATGAAATGCAAAGAAAGTACCAACAAAGAAAATTCAAAAACCACTGCAGTGACTTAAAAAAGGTGAATTTTCAAAACTGAAGCAAAGCATGCTGAAATTTTTTTAATTTTATGAATATTTATGCCAGAAGTAGCAGGAAAAATATGGTACAATTTTCGAAATGATGGAAAAATGAACAAAACAGATTTCACTTTGGTTGACATAAGTGTTGGATGGACAAACTGACATATGCAAGGCTTTACTATACCATCGCTACCAAACTGCGTTGGGATAACAAAAGAGCCAACTGAAATTTAAGGACACTAGCTGTTACTCATATACAGTCTCTGTAACATCCTCATAGAAAGAGGCTTCATGGGTATATGGTCTACACCAGGCCCGTAGCCAGGATTTGCCAAGGGGGTTCACTTTTTAGAAAATTCCAGGGGGGTTCACTTTTGACAATTTTGGTCAAAAAATGGCAAAAATCACTTAAAAAGTGCTCAGAATGGTAAAAAACTGCACTGTATTTCATGTCTTATATTTATCTTGTATTTCATACTGTACATATTACTATCAAGTCGTTAACTGGTAACCTACCTGTTATTTCAAACTCTTCCATGTGTAAAGGGGGCCTCTCTGTGTGCAGGTTGAAGTAGAGATAACTCCGACTTGGCCATAACAGATGCATCAATACACAGTAGGACAGGAAATCTGCTGCATATGTCATACCTGTAGCAGCAGAAACTTAAAGGTGAGCAAAATTCACAAAATTCTCTAAAACTGACACAATGTTTTGGAGAGGTAGCTTGATAGATCTGATTATGCCATTTATTTCAGTTTCAGAAAGTAGGCATGATAAATAAGAAATGAACCTCTTAGACCTGAGATAATGATGTTAAATTTGAAAAGAATTGTAAAACAAGACGAGGCATTAACATGCAAAATGTCACCACCTGCCTTTTGTTACAGACACCCACCACTGACCATCAAATGCCGACTGACAAACACTGTCTAAAAGTTGGAGACTATAACAATATGTAACCACTTCTAGTGGTGACATAAAAACAGGCTAAGAGTGTTCCTATAAATTGACTTACTGAGAATGGTCTTAAATCGCCACAGAGCAGACACCTGACTCCCAATTAGTGCAACAATTGGCAAATACACAAACCAGACAAGGAAACCAGCTCCAAAGTGAAGATAAAATCGCATCTTTGGTTGATGATTCTCCAGTAGGAATGTTTCACGCAGTTCAAACAGGAACCAAACCATAAGTGCCATGCGGAATGCTAGTATTGTGTATCCCGGCCACGTCTGCCATTCATCTTTGTCTGAGATGATGTCCATCTCAGTCTGAAGAATAATATAATCATATTATAGTCTTGCATCAAGCCCTTGTACTTGTGTTGACCCCTCATTATCTCACTAACATTCCTGGGTTGGAAAATAGGAGATGGTTATCAGACCTACTATCAAATAATGGTGTGTAATAATGAAAAACAATGTACAAATTAAAATGTACTTAGTATATACATGAAATCATATTGAGTCTATTGACAGGGAGCTTACACTTAAAATGTGCCAAAATTAGACCAGAGAGTGTTTGCAACATGCAACTCACATAGTGAGCTAATAAACATATCTAGAGTGCTGAAGTTGACTTACGAAATTCCATATGAAGAGGAAGATGTTGGCCGCTGTGTACAATGTCCAAGCTGTGAAAAGGAGTATTTTAGACTTAGTTGTCAATGTTTGCCTTGTAATAGTCCAGCCTTTTACTATCAATAACAATAGTAACATAAATAAACACTCAGCAAACATGTCTATGAAATTGCCTGCTAACTTCATCAGATTGCTTCCCTCCCCATCAAAAGCAAATTTGAAAAAGTGGATAAAATTCAGTACTATTCCAATGAACTCCAGGATGATACATGCTGTGAGTAATCGCATTAAGTTATGTCTCTGTCGCCTCAGAGCATATAGTTGTATAGGGACTATTATGATAAACGCCACAAGAAAAATGGCATATATTTCAACCACATCATGTAGTTCAAATGAGAACTGATGTTCAAAGGGATTAAAGTGTTTAGTGTAAGGATTTCCATTGACCATCCAAATGTCATACTCTAGTTCAATTTCTTCATCACTGTCATGTAGCCATTTACACAGTGTATCTCCTTTGTCTCCACGGTAACAAGACACCAGGCTTATAAACCAAAACCTATAAAAAAGAAAAACATATTTTTATAAAATTGCAATTCAAAATTAATTTCCAGCAATTGGACATGTGATGAACGTTATAATTCATATGTACTGTAATACTTATAAAGCCCGGTATACACCAATGGGGCAAAATCCCACTTGCCCCATCGAGTCCCATCTTGCCCCATCGAATCCCAATTTGCCCCATCGAATCCCACGAAGTCCCATTGGACCTTGATGACTTTGCCCCATCGTGCCCCATGGATTCCCATCAAGCCCCATGGAGTCCCATCAAATCCCACCGTGCCCCATTGGTGTATGTCGGGCTTCGTACAACACGTCATATGACCGAAAATCCCACGATGCCCCATGGAAAGAATGAACATGTTCATTCTCGATGGGACTCCATGGGACTCCGTGGGATTTTGCCCCATCTTGCCCCATCGAGTCCCACCGAGTCCCACGTGGGACTTCATGGGACCTCATGGGACCTCGTGGGACTCGATGGGGCAAGATGGGGCAAAATCCCACGAAGTCCCATGGAGTCCCACGGACTTCATGGGGCAAAATCCCAAAAGGTCCCACGAGGTCCCACGCAATGTTAAGTCTATGGAGGTCCCAACTTGCCCCATTGGTGTATACCGGGCTTTAGATTAGAAATTATTAATAAAACATGTTAAATGATTAATAATGTATAAAGAATATAAAATAAGTTTTTAATTCTTTTAATTAAAACGATACTGTAATTACAAGTGGATCAAATGTAAATGGTGAAATAAAATATACATTATATTGTTTTACATGTACATTGTATTTTCTCCACATGTAATTAGGATGCACTGGATGAAAGCCTCCCAAGTGTGGGCAATCTGTAAAATGAGGTAATTTATTGGATGAAATTTTGCCCATATATATTTATATTCTCTATTATGTTGATAAATCACACATTTATATACAGACAATGAACGTATGATATGTATAAATTCATGGGATATGTATACATTAAATGTATGGATTATACAGTGCAATAGAGTACATGTATTTCTGTAATGTGTACCTTGGCTGTTTTGTGTCCTGGATTTTATATGTAAACTGATATCCCTTCACAACTTTGTCAGGGGCATCTTCTTCCGAACAAAGTTTATCCGTATCACACGGTACTTTTCGTAAGAAGTCTTCTTTACCATCCTTTTTACACTGACGATCCCATGCAATCGTGTCAATTTTATTAAACATTAGTGGGCAAGCTTTAGATCGTGGTACAACTGTCCTGTTGCCATAAAATTCTAAGAAGTATTCGCTGTCAACTACAACTAACATTCTTTTTGTATTTTTCGTTGTAAAATTAGATTTTGCTGTTATATTGCCATATATGTATCCTCTTGTGTTCAAAATATCTGACATATCAGTCTGTTGAACTCCAAATCGTCCGAGAAAATTTAAGTATTCAGAAGTCCTCCAAGATCCCTTGACACGTAATCCAGTGCACGGGACACATGCGAATAAAATTATACTAAATATAACAGAAAATGATGTCCAAGTTAGCGTAATACGGGATTTCTTTTGGAAACATACTGTTTTTGTCATATTATGTGCTGCCATTTTGAATTTTGGCAAAAATCACGTGACAGTCATGTGACTAATGATAAAATACTTAATTTATATCTTACAGAAAGATTTCACATTATCTCTTACATCTAAATGAATGTTATTTATTTCTTAGAATCTATTAAGTATTGTTTTCAAGAGTAAAAGTGGTATAAAGCAGTGATTTTGTTTCTAGTAGAAGTAGTCACGTGACTTTTCTGATGCAAAATGGCAGAAATTGAAAATTATTCAAAATCTCAAAATTGATACATTTTCACTATTTGACACTAACTTAAGAAGTAAAACCACTGCAAAACGAAACTACGACATACATAAATATGGTAAGAAAATTATGGCCAGTAATTACATTCTCATTTTAAGTTTCTTTGGTTGAATTCTTTGAGATTTACAACGAATTCCATCGGTTTGTATTTTTTTTCATTTTTCTCAAGAAGGTTATCAATAAAAAGACTCAACAGCCCCCAACCGCAATGTCGTCTATGTAGTTAATTCAGGCCTGTCAACTGTCCCGCAATTTCCGTTTTTGTCACGCATTTGCTGAAGAATTTGAAGTCACGCCAGTTATTTATGCGTGACAGACAATGTCACGCAAATACGCATTTTACCTGGTAATTGTCAAGCGAAAAATTTGAGGTGTTCAAAATTTGGCAAGATGTAATAAAATTTAACCAAGGTGTTCAAAATTTGAATCAAGGTGTTCAGATTTGGACCAAGGTGTTCACATTTTGAGGGGAGGTGTTCAACATTTCCAAGTCACTCATGTTAGGTGTTCCCAAGTTGACAGGCCTGTTAAGGTGCTATGGAAGTTAACAGGAAATGACAAAACAGGAAGTGACAATTTTTTTTGCATTTTTAGATATTGTTTGAATAAAGATAACAGATTTCTGGTTTGACCCCCAGTCAATTTAACTATTTCCACATATCATTTACATGACCAGGATCACAATGTGCATGGTCAGAATGACCCTAAACATGATGAAATAACCTTTTTAGCCCTTTGAAAGTGTGACTGAAAAAAAGCTAAAAGTAGGAGCGTGGGGAAGGTCACTGAACAGAATCTTTTGAATTTTTCAGAAAATGTGCCCAATATATTGCTCTAAATGATACAATCTTTGAAAATTTGATATCATTCATAGAAAAAGAAAAAAAAATGAAAAAAATGATTTGAAAAGCGATCTATTTTCCTTTTTATGACCAACATTTTTGTTTTAGACAATTTTCTAAAATTTCAAAGATTGTACTAGTTAGAGCATTATATTGGGCACATTTTCTGAAAAATTCAAAAGATTCTGTTCAGTGACTATCCCTACGCTCCTACTTTTAGCTTTTTTTCAGTCACACTTTCAAAGGGCTAAAAAGGTTATTTCATTATGTTTAGGGTCATTCTGACCATGCACATTGTGATCCTGGTCATATAAATGATATGTGGATATAGTTAAATTGACTGGAGGTCAAACCAGAACTCTGTTATCTTTATTCAAAAAATATCTAAAAATGCAAAAAAAATTGTCACTTCCTGTTTTGTCATTTCCTGTTAACTTCCATAGCACCTTAATTGTTAGACACACATTACAGAGTTTCCTTTGTCTGATATTACCTAAATGGATGACATGTTGCCCCCCTCACAGGAACCTGTATCAACACCTGACAGTGACACTGACATCTATTGGTGACAAAACCCTGGAAATATATCTCTTTGGTCACTAATAGATGTCACTGTCAGGTGTTGATACAGGTTCATGTGGCCCCCCAGTCCTCTAGGGAAAGAACAAAAAAACTTTAGTTGGAGAAAAAAGTGCTGTGTACAGTGCTGATACAAATTAATTGATAAGTCAAATAAGTTGCATATTTTCTTGAATTCTAACATCTAATGTCCCAAACTCGCCCAAACTGCAGAAAAGTATACACCGTGAAACATATTTACCAAAATGAGTGTCTCCAAGGCTTCATACCAGAGTATGCATAATGCATTTGTCACGAGTTTGAGCTGAAATTTCGCTAAAATGAAGTAAGGCCCGGGTAATCTCCGCCAGGTTTGTTTATTGTGGTTAGCTAAGTGGTCAGAAGCAAATAATTCATGTGCGCAAAATAATCAAATAATCTGATTGGTTTAAACTTTTAGTGTGCATGCTCACAAATCACGATGTGTGCCATGTCTTTTTCTAGTGATTTCGTTTCGTTTCATAAAGTTTGTGTTTCAGTGTAACTTCCGCAAAAATGGCAGACCAATGATAGAATTATGTAATAGCAAAACTTTTGTTTTATTTGTGCATTCTATCTATCAGATAAGAGTCTCAGGGGTATATAGGCAAATCCATTTTGATTGGAGAACTCTGTCTAGTTTGAAAACTCAACCTTTATTATTTTGTATCAGCACTATAGACATTTTGCATGTTATTGCCTAACACCAGATCATACAGAGAATTTGTCAGTTTGTTATTAAAGTTTTTTATTTCCTTATTACTTTTCATAGAAATACCATGGACATTTACTTGTAAACCCCAGAAATCATGTTTTCATCAAAGTTTTTCAATTTTTTAGGACAGAAACATGGAGATCGTGGAGCAGTATAATATTGACGGTCAGCGGAGGGGTATGATTAGTTAAGTCATAGATAAGCAGTTCAGATGTTTGAGCTACTGAAATTGGAACTTGACTACACTTGATACAGTGTTGAGAAATAGCTTTGTTTCCATGGTGACTAATTAAACATAGCACAATGGCATAGTTATAGGAATAACAAACTCATATTGTTTATACTAATAGCTTAAGAGACAAGAGAGCGCTGGATTAGAGAAGATAGAACATATATTTTTATGCATTATTTATTATCGAAAGTGTAGTCAATTTAATACATACAACAGTATTTATAACTTATACATTGAAGCAGTGGCAAACATAGAGAGAAACATAGTAACGTTATACTGTTAATTGTGCAGTAACCATGGCGAAATGTTGCATTGAACAGTTGAAGCAGTGTAGTAAATATGATTTGCATCTACTTATGAGGATTATTGCCATTGCGTTGGGTGTTTATACCGTGACATTTTTAATTGTTCTACCCTGGATTTGTAATGAGTGGGCGTATAGTAAATATTTCCAAGATTCCAACACTAGAGAGAAACAGTTACGTAACAAGGTTGACAAAATAAATACTGAACGACTATCTAAAGCGAAGGAATATTTTAATCAAAGTGATCCTGAGGAATCCATAAAGTTTTACAAGTTGCTTGAAATGAATAGCCATATTGACATTGCGGTGGGCGTCGTTACTGTAAAACGAACACATCCAAAGCTTGAATTAGGATATCTTACTCAGGTCATGCAAGCTATTGATAGTATATTCAAGACACACTCTAAAAATTTAAACAATGTTCTTTTTATCTGCAACACAGATGACTCTCCCAAGGATTATCATGAAGCAAAATATTTATCAGAGTTCGTCCCCATGCATATCCTTCCACATTACAAACAAGGTCCATCTGATAAATTCAGTAAAGAAACATCTGATTATGCTTTCTGTTTACAAGCAGGACTTGATTATAACCCAGATTATGTTCTTATTATCGAAGATGACACAATACCATATAAGGACATATTTACTGTGATAGAACATAGTCTAGCTAGGTTACGATCTCAGCATTATAGTCAAAGTAAAGACTGGTGCTACCTGAAACTGTTCTATCCACAGAAGTGGCAGGGATACGCAAATGAATTAATGACAATTATTGAAATAATAGGTCTCGCTGCAGTTGGTGGATGCGCTACAGTTGCCGTATTATTTGTATCTTCTAAACGAGTTACGTCAAACCTCACAAAGTGTATCTGCTTTGTTTTAGGTGCCATTTACAGTGTCTTATTTTGTGTCATGATAGGCAGACAGTATTTTCTTGAACTAAGGAGATTATTGTCACCATGGCTTTACCGGGTTATTAGTGCACCCGACTGCTGCTCCCCTGCTATACTTTATCCTCAGCATATCCTTAATCAACTTATTCCATTCCTGAATAGTACCATTAGTAATAAAGACAAGCCCTTTGACTATGCTTTGGATGACTTTGTTAGACTTCACAACTATGAGCAGTACCTTGTAGAACCTAATTTACTAAACCATATAGGCATGTATTCATCACTAAAAGCCCAGTCATCAGATCCTGAAATGTTTTTATAGCACCCTTGGGGATTTTCCGGGCAGGCGTACAGGCGTCCCAATAAATCTTGATATAGATATCATTTGAGAATCATATATTACATATATTTATTTGATGGTATATAAATTTTGCAGATTTCAAATTTTAAAAGATAAATGAGTTTGTATCTATTTTGCTAGAACTCTTATGGCTCACTCTATTGACCAATCATGTACATTGGCTTTCCAATTGATATATATTGTAAAATATAATGTGATTTTTATGTATTGAATATAATATGGAGATTAAACCTATGTATGGAAAAGTTGACTTTTTATATTCAGATTAATAATTTGTATGATAAATAAGGATTTGTGTTATTTAGATTCCCAATTTTGCCCCTTGTGCTTTCACACAATTATAAAAATCACTTTTGATGAAAAGCCAAGAGGCAAAACTGTGAAAAAAGATCCTAAAAGAAGTATTGAGCAAGGGTGCACAGTTCACAAAGTAGGATTCTTTTTTATTCAGTTTATTTTATTGCAAATTATCATCTCAAAATACGAATACAAATTGGGGCTGTATATAGCCACATTTAATACAAATTTAAGATACATAGTACTATGAATCGGTCACAGATTTTAAGAGAATATACAGGTGGTGGAAAGGGTGACTAGATTGATAAGATTCTTTTGACAATGACCTATTGTGGACTGTTTAGTTTTGGAGAAAAGGTAGGGAGAACAGTCAGAACTGTTGGGCTTGAAAATTGGTATGAGACTGACACTTCATAATTTTATTATGAATAAATCAATGGTTTTTATTATTCTTAATAGCAATCATATCAATACAACAAGCTAGTGGGGTATTTTACTTTGAAAAATAAATTATGTAAAATTCCTTATACTTCTAGGTAAAATGTCTTGCTCCAGTACCAAAATTAAAAGTTCCCATTCAGTGAAATCATACTCTCTAATATTTCTCTGAGATATGAAACCTCTTTCAAAAACATCTTTTTGAAATTAAAGGCAGAATCAGTTAAATAGGGGTTGACAAAATTGCAGGCAACATGAATACACTTGACATTCCAATGTCATCCTGACAATCTCAAATACAATATCTCCCAAAGCTCCATGATTTGTCAGTGAAGTTATTTTCGATTCAAACGGGAGAACTATTAAATTCTCACAAATTATAGACCTTATTTATAGAAAAAATCAATAGGTTATTGTAAAGATCTTTAAATTTCTCAAATAATGTATACACTACCACATTTCCAGACAAGCTACTTTTTTTATCTAAGAATTCAGAACTTATTAGTATGGGTATGCTGAGTACATGAAAAGAAAGTCAACATTGATTGAATGGATTTAAACTGAAATTAGTGAGTGAATGTAGTAAGCTAAAGGACTTGGTTTACAGAAAAAACTTTATACCAATAAGGCCAACACAATCATACAATTGCAATAAAAAATTAATTTACTCAGCATACCCTTACTAATAATCAGTTATGAATTCTTAGATCAAAAAAGTAGCTTGTCTGAAAATGTGGTAGTGTACACATTATTTGTGAAATAAATTAGATATATGTTAAAGATGATATCCCTTTTAAAATTAGAAATGACCTTATGAATGATCAGGGTGACTCCTTATGGATTGAATTGAGCATTAACTATAAGTCATATCTATATGCAATTTATTATAGGTCACCATCGCAAACTCAAAATGAGGCAAATGAATTCTGCACTAGGTTCTCAAACTCATGCAATTTGGCACTTGACTCTAACCCAGAAGCTATTTTTATTAATGGAGATTTTAATGCAAGGAGTAAACAATGGTGGGCCTTAGACAATGAAAATTTCACAGGAAAAAAATTATTTGAACACATTGAAGAACTTGGACTTTTTCAGCTTATAGATGAACCAACGCGAATAACAAATACCAGTAGATCATGTATTGATCTTCTCATTTCAAATAGCCCTGATATTATAACAAATGCTTATGTTTCTCCTCCTATTGGTAACACTGACCATTGCTCAATAAACACGGAGTGTTTTCTTAAAACTCTTAAAAACCGTCCTTATTCAAGAAAAATTTGGAAATATGACCAAGCAGATATAAATCTAATTAACAACTCAGTTAGAGCAGCAGACTTTGATCACTTGATAGATAGTAGTAATGATTTAGATGACATAGTAAGCAATTTTTCTAGAGGGTTACTTGCAATTTTTACAGATCTTATTCCAAACTCTGATATTGAAATTAAACCTACGGATAAGCCATGGTTTACAAGCGATATCAAAACCTTGATAAATAAAAGAAATAAATTACATCGTAAGTACAGGAAAACACATGATGACAAATACTTTAAGAAATATACTGATCAATGTAATCTTGTTAATGATGCTATTCGTGAGGCCAAAGAGGCAATGGAATCAAGGTTGTACTATAAATTAAGTAATCAGAGATATGGAAGCAAAGGATACTGGTCAATTGTAAGTAGGCTTTTGGGAAAATCTAAAAATAGTAAAATACCACTTCTTTGTGATGCTAGGGGTAACAGTTACACTGATAGCCATGACAAAGCAAACTTGCTACTGTCTCATTTCACTGACAAATATCATATAAATTATCAAGAAGGAAATGAAACTTTTATTCCAAGAACTGATCAATCTTTTGACCTACTCTCTACTAATGATAGAGAGGTTTATAGCATTTTACTTGGGTTAGACACAAATAAAGCTACTGGCCCTGACATGTTAAGCAATAGAATGCTTAAAATGGCAGCACCATCACTTTCACCGATATTATCAAAATTATTAAACAAAATGTTCATTCTTAATAAATACCCCCAACCTTGGAAGGTAGGCCACGTTGTAGCAATTCATAAAAGTAAAGACAAAACAGATGTAAAAAATTATAGACCTATAACTCTCCTGAGCTGTATATCTAAAGTTGCAGAACGCGTAATCTTCAAAAGACTTTTTGACCATCTAATTGTGAACAATTTATTTTATAACCTCCAAAGTGGCTTTTTGCCAGGTCACAGCACCCAGGCACAGCTTCTAAGTATAATTGATGTCATAACTAATGAAATTGAAAATGGGGCCAATGTAAGGGGATTTATCTTGACATTTCGGCCGCCTTTGATTCAATGCCCCATGGGCTACTATTAAAAAAACTGGAAATGTATGGTTTTGGTCATAACATCATAGAATTAATGAAATCGTACCTATCAAATAGACAAGTGAAAGTTGTATTGGATGGCCAAGAGTCTGAACTATCTGAGATGAACCATATAAACGCAGGAGTACCTCAAGGCTCCATATTAGGCCCCCTCCTGTTTCTAATTTATATCAATGATTTACCTGATAACTTAAATACCAAATGTTTTATATATGCAGACGACACGTCACTTTACCAATCCTTCACAGCTGAAACAGCAGCTGATAAGAATAATGAATTACAAGAGGATCTAAATAAAATTCTCTTATGGTCAAATACATGGAAATTAAACTTCAAAGCTAGTAAAAGTAAAGATATGACTTTTTTTAATCCAAGAAAGCGCGAAATTTTGACCCCAGATCTTTCCCTTGGTAATGACAAGTTACCGAGAGTAAACAATCACAAGCACTTGGGCTTGATTTTGGACAAAAATCTCACTTTTGACTATCACATTACTGAACTTGTAGCAAGAATAGATAAACTCATAAATCCGTTAAAAGTCTTCAGTAAGAAAATAAGTGGTAAACACCTTGAAACAATTTTTAATTCTTTTATTTTGCCACTCTTTGATTATTGTGACATTCTTTACGGATGTGCAAATTTGACAAAACTACAACTTTTAGACCGCCTTTACTATAAAGCTGCAATTATTTGTTCAGGTGCCATGCATGGAACATCAGCCACAAAAGTGTTGAATACTTTAAATTGGCCCACACTCTCAAATAGACGTCAATATCATAGAGCTACCTTTATGTATAGAGCTCACAACAACTTGCTGCCTTCTTATGTCACTGAGATATTTGAACCACTAAAAAGAAATCAAACACATGAACTAAGACACCAACTTGACTATATTTTACCAGTTAAATCCAAATTTTATGAAAGATCTTGTATCTCAAAAACAATATCAGAATGGAATCTACTCTCATCTGATATAAAGAACTCATCTAGCTTAAGCATATTTAAATCAAGCCTTAAAAGCAATATCTTTAACGAAACTGTTATTAACTCATCAGAATTGTCCATCTCAAGAAATCAAGAAATTATATTTAACAGAGTACGATGTGATTTCATTTTCAAGGCTCACCTTTACTCGCATAACTTTACCAATGTAAATTCCCCAATCTGCTCATGTGGTATTAACAGTGAAACAACCAGCCATGTGATTTTTCGATGTAACTTGAGATTAACATTCTGGACTGAATTAGAAAACCAACTAAAAAATATGAATATACAATACTCCCGTAAATATAAGACACAACGTGATAAACTTTCTCTGATCCTCAATGGTGATAAAACATTAAGTAGAGCTGAGAATCTGATTGTTTTAAAGTGCAGTGCCATTTTCGATCGAGCGATGTGTAAATGTCTGAAATCCTCCACAAAACAATTTTTATCTTATTGTATCTCATTTATTTTAATCAATAGTATTGATTGAATACATTGTATATTGTAATTGTAGAACGTGGCTAATAATGCTAATAGCACAGCCACTCACACTGTATTTTGTATTGTATTCTTTGTACAAATGAATAACTTAATAAAAAAAAAAAAAAAAAAAAAAAAAAAATTAGATCAGGGTGATTGCTGAGATGCACAGCATGTGATTATTAGCCGTATTTATGTGCGCTTGCCAAAATATTGAGCTTATACATTTTTTTATATAGAGAGAGCTACATGTACATATTGGTTAGGTATTTGTTGTACAGTAAGTTTGTAAAGCAGAATGGGGCAGTGCAACTCAAATGATTATGATGTCTCTGTTAAGACTGGAGATAAAAAGGGATCAGGCACGGATGGGAATGTGAGTGAAAATTATTTTAGATTTTCAAGAAATTTGTTTGTGAATTAATTCACATTTGAAGATTTTCTAAGATTTGAGCAGTGCATGGATCAAGATCTATCTAGTTTCTAGTTGCTATCTACAATTTCTTATTAGTATACTTGTTGTTAACTATAGTCAAACTAGTAGGTCAGATCTATAAAACTGTCACTCCCACCTTTCCAATGGTGTTTTGAATACTTGTGTAGAATATGTTATACTAGGTTTGAACATTGTTATTGTCTCCAACTTTTTGACTGTTCGGTGGTCAGTGTGTGGTGTACGGCGGTTGGTGTTCAGCAGTCGACATATGTAACAAATGGCAGGTGGTGATATTTTGCATGTTAATGGCTTCTCTGTGTATGTTTTTTTTCACATTAAAAAATGTGCTTATTTCACATATATACTGTTTGCTTTAAGTTGTTAAGGCACATGGTCAAGAAAACATTTTTGAAAAATTGCTAAACCTACACATGTCACATGTTATTTTCTGGTACAAAATAAGTTATGATTTTTATCCTTATTTTTTCAGGAAAGCATCCTTGTTGCATCATATGTTTAGTGGGTTAGAAATAATTTGAAAGCAATAGTGTTCTTGAGAAACTTTGAGAAGAAATTTGGAAAAGGTAGCCATTTTCTTGAAATATCGGCATTCCCTCGAGTTTCCAATGACCGCTTACCAGTTTTACTAAAAGAAGGCAATGTAATGACAGTTTACTGAAAAAAAAAACAAGGAAATACACAGATTCCTTCATAATTTTGTACCAAAAAAGAACATGGGCAGGTATAGCAATCTTTTCAAAAATGTTTCCTTGAACCATCACCTTAACTCTATTCATGTTCCAGGTTTATATCGCATTGACTGATGAAGATGGGAAACGATCCAGTGATTTTAAACTTGATAAGATATTGAAGGATGACTTTGAGCTAGGACATACTGATACATTTTCAGTTGGAAACTCTTCAGGTCTTAAGCATATTACACAGCTTTACATTTGGAGGGATAAGACAGATGATAATGATACCTGGTAAGTGGCCACAGTTGCTGTCCCATTCAAGTGAAACTCCATTATTCAGCACTCAGATTCACGACTGAAGATGGTATAAACAAAAAAGTTTATTTAATTCTGAACAAATGTGATGCTTCGAATCACATCCTTGTCCTTTTATATTTACAAGAACTTATATTTTTACATTGCTTCTTTTTTTCTTGCTGTATTTTGTAAATTGGTCTTTTCCCTTTTTGCACTTGTGTGTTTACATATTCATGAAAAGGATCTAAAATAAAAACGATCTTTTTAAAAAAGATCTTTCTAAATCTTCTTTTTAAAAACAAAACGCATAATCATTCAATTGCTATTTATCACAATGCTTTTTCCAGGTATGTTGAGAAAATTGTAGTTGAGCGATGTAAAGACAAGGACCAAACAATATTTCCCATACATCGGTGGGTTCCAGCAGGCTTTTCCATCAAACTAAAGGAATATGACTCTTTGTTACCACAGCATGACACAGAACAACTTGAACAACGAAAGCGAGAACTTGAAGCTAAGCAGATTGAATATCAGTTTAAAGTGAACTTGGAAGGGGGGCCAGCACAGGTATTTTACCAATATTTTTTACTTCTATTGAAATTCAATAAGTGATAGGTCAACATGAACCATAGGGTGTCAATAAAGTCTCTTTACACTTTACACAGACTTTGTATTGTAATTTTGAGAATGGTGATTTTCAGCAAAAATCAGTGCCCTTTATTAAGCTGAAGTTATTTCAGATGTTACTCTTTGGACCTGAAGCACGACTTGTCTTGTTTTGGTTGGACTCAACATTGAACCCCAGGCCCGTAACCAGGGGGGGGGGGGCTGATGGGCTCAAGTGAACCCTCCCCTCCTGGACAAAATATTTTTTTGCAAAATCATGCAGTTTTCACCATTCTAAGCACTTTTTAAGTGATTTTGGAATTTTTCATGAAGTGAACCCCTTGGGAAATCCTACTAGGCTTGGAAGTCAATTTTTGCTGCCATGCAAATACTCCAGTCCAAAGTAATCGTTTATCCCATCTTGCTTCATTAAGCTTTGGACCTGTCCTAGGAATGTAATGATTGAGCCTGCTGGCGATGAGTTTTTGCAGTATGATGAAATTGACAATTAAAATCAGTATTTTGTACTTTTAGATAAAAGATATTCCAGTGGATGAAATGTTCACGAAAGAATATGAGGTAATGTTTGATTCTCAAATCTACAGTATCTAAAAGTAATCAAACAGAACAGTCTATAAGTATATTAATTTGAATATCTTATATGTATTTTTTAATATTAGGTTAGCATAAACATCTGACAAAAAGCATTAAAAATGTACCCTCCATTTCCGATTCTTCTTTTAATAAATCAAAATGATATACAAAATGTATAGCATAATGTATAGCATATTATACCACTCTAAGTCCAATTACAGTTGTATAACATGGGTCTATAACAACGATATACAGTGGAGAGTGGTATATCGTCATCGTATACAACTCCTCCGTATACACTCCAGCGTATACCACTGTAGAAGTGCATTCTGGGAACTAATGAATAAAAAAATCATGAAAATTTTCATGATTTCCTAGAATCAAGTGACGTCATAAATGGTTCAAGATCAAAATCAGCATTATTGAGTTGATTATTGTTATGATTGTGTTCGAATCAACTGTAATTGAACTTAGAGTGGCATAATAAGATTATATAATGGTTCATTCTGTATATCGTGCATTTTATACTCTTGGAGAATATAATATATTCACTCGTTCGCTACGCTCACTTGTGAATATATCATATACTCACTCGTGTATAAAAACGATATACAGAAAGAACCATTATATAACCTCATAATATATTATTTTAAATATTTGTATGTAATTTTTATATTTATAAATTAAGCAAAACATATCTATGGTAAAAAGCATTTTTAATATCTAAAAAAGCATTAAAAATGTACTCTCCATTTCTGATTCTTCTTTTAATAAACCAATATGATATTTAGCATAATCGTATATTTCCAATTTCAGTGGAATTTAATGGCTGCCCTTGGTAAAGCGAAACTATCTTCAGAAGTACTGGATCTAATAGTGGGAGAGTTTGAGTGCTTAGATGACCTGAAGAATATCTATGGTGCTTTGTTTAGGATTCCAGATGTAGGTTATTTTCAGTTGATATCTATGGTGCTTTGTTTAGGATTCCAGGTGTAGGTTATTTCCAGTTATACATGTAGTTTGATATCTATGGTGCTTTGTTTAGGGTTCCAGATGTAGGTTATTTTCAGTTATACATGTAGTTTGATATCTATGGTGCTTTGTTTAGGATTCCAGATGTAGGTTATTTCCAGTTATACATGTAGTTTGGGTATTAAAGATAATTTTTTGTGCTAAGACTTTTTTTCATCTCTTTTGTAAAGAGTCTGTTCTATTGATTTGACGTCATGATAATTTGAAAACAGATAAACAAACTAAACTAAGAATTTTTATATGATTTTTCTCTCCCACTGTCATCATTTAGTAGAAATCATACACAAAAAATAAATGGTTATTTTCAGAAATTAATCAAAATAAGATAATTGGTGCAAAATGTTTAAGGTTATTAAACATCATGGTACCATCTTACCAATTAAAAACATTATAAAAAGCTCAAGCTTTAGGGTTATCTTTGATACATATTTTGTTGATTTTGGTGCCACTAACTTCCACTTACACATTTAGGGTATGCATACCTGGAAAGACGATGAGGCATTTGGGGCACAGAAACTGAAAGGATGCAACCCAGCTGTCATACGTCTATGTCAACAAATACCAGACAAGTAAGGAATCTAATAATAACACCACAATGATATCAATTTTCAAAAAGGCATTGTGTCCTGTTTTACAAGTACTAATGTTGTTTTTTTCGATTAGTATCTATTATCTTGTATCTGTGTAGATGTATCTTTTATTTGAACCATATGCCATCTCAGTGATTTTTATAATTTCAGCTTTTCAGTCACACCTGAAATGGTTGAACCATTCCTTGAAGGTCAGACCCTTAAAGAGTGTTTAGATACCAAGAAGATTTACATCATAGACTACAAAATGCTGGATGATATCACAAAAACAGATGACAGATATGTATGATTCTTGTTATAATAATTTTTTAGCTTCATTCCGTTTCGGTGGACATCTTACACAAAACCTTATCGAACACTTAACCTTTTAGACATAAAATTAGATCCAGGCCTGTAGTCTCCAACTTTTTTTGGACTATGTTCGACAGTTAGCATTTGCGACGTTCAGAGTTTGGCATCTGTAACAAATCGCAGGTGGTGACATTTTGCATGTTTATGCCTTGTTGTCTCTGTCATAGCCATATGAAGCTTTGCATGGCTTCCGTTTTCTTGTACATGTAGTTCTATAAAGGTTTTCATATTAATATTGCCATATATATCATAAACTCTTGTCAATAGATCTCTGTATATATTATCACATCAGGCCGTAGCCAGGGGGGGGGTTCGATTGGTTCGAGCGAACCCCCCCCCCCCCCTGGTCAAAAATCCTTTCAAAATCATGCAGTTTTTCACCATTCTGAGCACTTTTTTAGTGATTTTGGCCATTTTTGGACCAAAATTGTCAAAAGTGAACCCCCCTGGAATTTTCCAAAAAGTGAACCCCCTTGGCAAATCCTGGCTACGGGCCTGCACATTATCACACTTTGTGCCACTTTCAATTTTATCATATCTAACTATGTCCCCTAATCTCCCCATTGATCTATCAATGCCATGTATTCTGTAGTTGTGTGCACCCCTTGGATTGTTTTATGTGAATAGCAGAGGAAAATTGTTACCAATTGCCATCCAGCTAGAACAGACACCCTCAGAAAATAATCCAGTAAGTATTTATATCATCTTTGCTGTACCCTAGTTAATACAGGCATCCAATTTACAATTACATTAATGTTTTAGTGTAAACATTTCAGTTATTTATATCCATAACCACTTTATTGACTATTATTACTTTCGGTTGTGTTAAATATTCATACAATTGTATATTGTATTCATACAATGTATATTGTATTCATACAATGTATATTGTATTCATACAATGTTTATTGAAGACGCATTTGCAACAACTTGGCTTACCGCATGAAAGAAAAGGCCAAAAATGTATCTTTACATTTCTCTCTGCTGTCATCAAAAGAAGTAACATCAAACTGGTTTTGATTTGACATACATTTTTTATGCATATCTGAATTTCATTCACATTTTGATTTGTACATTGTTCTTTACATTGCAGGTTTTCTTGCCATCTGACCCTGAATACACTTGGTTGTTGGCCAAAATGTGGTTCAACAATGCAGATTGTAACTACCACCAGTCTGTAGCTCATTTTGGTAGGTATTTGTAGATCATTATGAAGGGGATATCTTTGGTAGACAAATATGGAGGCCTTAAAACGTAATTTACAAGGGAATACAGGTTAAAAAAACTTACTCTGTCGGGTTGTCACACCTCATGTTTTCATGTCATCACCACAAGTGGTGACATATTGTTAAAGTCTCCCAACTTTTTTTGTGGACTGTGTTCAGCATTTGGAATCCAGCAGCCAGCATTCGGCATCTGTTATAAATGGCACATGGTGACACTGAATTTGGGTCAATCGAGTTATAATATGCGCAGATACAAGCATTCTGTTAGGTGTTATGGGTCTAGAAATAAGGTCAATGAATTAAGTGTATTTAGGATTTCAAATGTCCATGACTTCTGCAATATTTACCGCTGCATCTTTAAATATCATGCAAAGTATACTTCTATAATTTATTTACAGGAACGACTCATATTCTTATGGAGTATGTTTGCATAGTGACTAATCGTCAGCTGTCTCCAAGTCATCCACTGTACCGTCTACTAAGTAACCATTTTCTCTACGTCATTGGAATAAATACGTTAGTAGAACTTTTAACATACATTGTATACATGACTGGTTTCACACATTATATTAGGGTGGTTTATGGGAGGTTTTGGATATCATGAAATATGATATCTCACCTTTAAATCTCCAAGGAGATACACATGTATCTATATTTATTCCATAGTTAGCATGATATAACATGTCAAAATAAAAACTGTATTTTTGTTATCAGTGGTAAAATATGATATATATTTTTGACAAATTTTCACTTAGCGCCGTATGCTATGAATTATGGATTTTGCTACTTCAGACTCAAAACGAGGCTAAATGTCAACATCGCCGGATCGTTTTGAAAATTTGAATTAAATCACTTAATTTCCGATGATTCTTATGATGACTTTAACTATGGAATAAAAAGAACATCCTATGATGCACTCGTGATATGATTTTAATCCACTCATGGGTATTGATATCTGCACTCTCGCTACGCTCACTCGTGTAGATACAGTATCATATCCATTCGTGGATAAAAATCATATCACTCATAAATCATAGGATATCCTCTATTTCCTTCCAGATATACTCCATATCCAAAATTGAATAGAACATAACTCATAGATTGAAGTGATTATAAACGAATTCCTGATTATTGTGTTATTAACAGAGATTTGCAAAAGTTTGTCAATTCAGGTTATTGACAACTTGCCAGATATTGATTAAAATTTTTGTGTGTTTTCTCATTGATAGATCTGGTTTGACAAGACTGCTTGCACCAGAGGCTTGGGTTGACAGAAACATGACAATAGGCCGTGCTGGTTTCATCACAATACTCAGCCGTGCCTGGCCTAAATGGAGACTTAATGTTGAGGGGACTTTACCAAATGATCTACAAGATAGAGGAGTATGTGTCATACAGTTTTGTTGCATGTTTATGTATTGTGCTTTCATTTGTCATGATACTGTTTAAAGTGGCTCTTCATCAGATTGATATCACCAACTGAATTTTAAAAAGGTTTATGAAGTTGAATTATTATTTATATGCGTGTAGTAAAATGCTTTTAGATCACCTAGCTATTATTTCCTTTGTGTCTAGTAACAAAAAGTGTAATACATTTCTTCTGTTCTAATTTAAGGTAGATGACGAGAATGCCTTGCCCAACTACCACTACAGGGATGATGCTATGTTATTGTATAGAGCCATTGAGAAATACATCAGGAGTGTTCTTACAGGGATTTATGATTCTCCTGAAAAACTAGTGGATGATTATGAGGTTCACAACTGGCTGCAAGAGCTCAGGTCTCCACCAGAAGGACCTGGATTAAATGTAAGTTCAAACTTCTGTATGGATCAGGCCAAGCTGCATTCTTGATTCAGTCACAGATGGAAATGGATCTGTGTTGTTTTTCAAACCTGTCCGAAGGGGAGGGGCATTGGACGTGACCATCCCCCTTTTTAGAGATTTGTATTTAATGATGCAAATATCACTCTCAGATATGCTCAGAATCACATTTTCAGACATGTCACCAGACCCACTTAGCTTGCGGCGCTACGTACCATAGACGTTTTCGAGGTTGTGTTGGCAGCGCAATCCATTTATAGGCAAAAGTCGGCCCCCCCCTCTTGGGAAATCCTTCGGACAGACCTGCTTTTATTTGAATGAAGGCAAAGGGATAAGTTATAATTTGAAGCATCAAAGAAATCAGAATGATTGAACATTGCAGTTTAAACTATACTACGAGTCGAGTATATGCTTACTGTACTTATGATTTTGGTAGTCTAGATCTAAGGCACACAGATCCTCATGTTTTTTTTATATCTGCAATACAATATTGAAACAATGGTGAATAAAAGCAAACTTCAAATTAATTTTAAATTTTATGCACATATTTATTCCACAGGGCCTTCCTGAAAAATTGACATCAGTTGATGACATCTGCGCCATTGTGACACCATTGGTATTTCAAGCAAGCGTACAGCATGCTGCAGTGAATTATTCACAGTATGAGGAATATGCATATCCACCTAACTTTCCAACTTATTTGGAAGGTCTTCCTCCCAGGGATAAGGTAAACTATCAATGTACATATTCTTCAGGGTGGGCTAAAAGATTTCCATAATAATTTAATAATTTAAACTTTTTTGATAATGCATGGATTTTTTAAATGTGTTTGAGTTAAATGCAACAATCACTGCAATTGTTACTGAACTTGGATAAATCAATCTTAAAGGGTTTCTGAATAGGAAAGGGTAACATTCACTAGGAGTTGAAAAGAAAATATGATGACAGTTTTTTTTATGTCACCACCAAAAAGTGATGACATATTGTAATGGTCTCCATTTTTTTGATGGCTGTTGTTGGTGGTGGTTGGCGGTTGATGGTTGGCAGTTTGCATCTGTATCAAATTCTTACAACTTCCAATAACTCCAAATTTTTTTTCAAAATCATCTGCAAGTTATCAGAAGTTCTAATCTGACCTTATAGATTTGAGATTTGACCTTCAATGACCTTCTTAAGGTCAAAAAAGTTCAAAAAGGTATTTTTTTCAACTTGCTTCAAATTGACCATTTTTAAGATCATCTACAAGTTCTCAGAAGTTCAAATCTGACTTTAGATTTGAGATTTCACCATCAATGACTTTCTCAGGGTCAAAAAGGTCTTTTTCAACTTACTTCAAATTGACCAATTTTTTCCAAAATCATTTACAAGTTCTCAGAAATTCAAATCTGACTTAAGATTGAACTCATAATATTATGAGCAATTAGGTGGTGACATTTTGTCATGTAATACCTTGTATCCCAATTTTTGTAAAAAACATGTGTTTTACCTATACACGATGATGGATTGTTACAACAATTGAGTATGCCATTATACTGTAATTTAAATACATCATTTTATGATTTCTAGGAAGTGAGAAAAGAGCAGGACATTATGAACTCTCTCATAAGTAAATCTCGAACACTAGAAATTGCTTTGATTGCAACTTATTTGAGCACAACTGGACTAAACCCACTAGGACACTTCGAAGTGCAGTACAACCATGACCCTATGTCTGTGAAAGCATTGGAAAGGTACATTATAATTAATATAAACAAATATGTTAGTTATTTTTATAATATTTTTGACATTGATGAGAAAGCAAAGGTACAACACTAGAAAAAATCCCGGGATCCCCATAAATCATAAAAACTACTGTATCAATATCAATACAAAAAAAAGTATCTGAAGATTATAAGTGTATAAAATCCCATTATTAGGAAATTTTTTTAGCAAATTGAAAAACCATGGACCATTAGTTCTTCTTTGTCCTAAATCATATCTCAACAAAAAGTAAAAGAGATAATTTCTCCTTGTTTGTATTGAATACCTCCTTGGTCACATCTGTGCATAACTGATAATCCAAATTAAGCCACCATGAACATGTAAATAGATGGGGATGGGGACCCGTAGATAAATGCTTATATGTTAATAATTCACTTTTACACTGGTCTTTTCTCCTACCTCCCTAATATAATGAATATTGAAACATCTGTTTTAGTTTCCGCAAAGAGCTAGCTGAGATTGAAGAAGAGATGAAAGAGAAAAACAAGACAAGAGACCACAAGTATTCATTACTCTTACCAAGTATTGTGCCTAATTCAATAAGTATGTAACCACATGGACAACATCTTGATGGACTTTATATTACATGACTCTTCTCAAATATGAATGCTATTTATATTTGTACAAAACACATTGGAAGAATATATGGGCTTTTTACAATAACTGATGATAAACATGTTTTAAGGTCATAACACAATGCTTTGTCTGTGCAGTACATCACAAGTTTATTATCCCATCGAACAAAGTTCGGAGGGATATAGGGAACACCTCCGTCCGTCCGTGCGTACGTCCGTCCGTCCATCCGTCCATCTGTCCATCCGGGCTATAACTCAAATACCGTTGGCCAGATTTTTTTCACTTGTTCAACTTGTATCCATTACAACTGTACCAACCATCAAACAGCTTTAGCATGAACCAGGCCATATGTCCGGTGTAAAAGGGTAGGAATTATGGTCCTACTCTCCATTGATTTATATGGTGACCTAAATACAACACTTTTCCTCATTATGTTATACACAATTAGGGCAAGTAAGGTCCGTAAAGAAAGGGGACCATAAGCCCTGGGGGACCATCATTTCTTTCACACCGGGAACTGGAAAAAATCGAGTTGAATACACCAAGATTCTAATCCCTTTACTTGGTGTATTCAACTCGATTTTTTATACATATTCCCGGGCCTATGAACCATGTGCTAAAGTTAATCAAAAGTATAAAAAACGGCAGCCATATTTTTTTTGGTAAAGTCACAAAAATCGGTTTTCCTTATATGTGAATGCATTTCCTGACTAAAGAGATATGTCAAAGGAAACTTCACATTTAAACGCATTTTCATAACTATAAATTGGAGGTGCATTGGTCCCCAAAGCTAGCATGAAGACCATGAAATGAGGCTAACTTTTGAAAGTTTCAAGGAGTATGATTGCAACAGTCGCACATTTGCATGAATCCAAAGTTTCCACAAATCATCTTACCTTACCAAGGAGCATCAAAGGAGCATGAAAATGTGCACTTCTTGCTGTGTTAGAGTATGATAAAGCTCAAACCATAGTTTCTTATAAATATTTCATGTCAACCATTTTGTTTGCCGGAACATCCTTGATGAATCCTCATACAAGTTTTGTGACTACACCAAGTGGCATGGATTATCACTAGTATATTATATCTATAACAGTATAATTATCATGATAGATACATGATTGAGGCTTTATAAATGATAAACAATGGATACATGAGTGAGGATTACTTTGGACTAGAAAATAATCTCCGCAAACAAAATGGTGGACATGAAATATTTAGAATTAACAATGGTTTGAGCTTTATTTTACTCTAATAATGCAAAAGGTATACATTTCTATGCTCCTTTGATGTTCCTTGGTAAGGTAAGATGATTTGTGGAAATTTGGGAGTTTTACCCCCCTTTCACACCAAACTAGTTCTTACCCGTTCTTGCCAGTCCTACGAAACGTCGTAAAACGTTGTAGCTACGTTCATTCCATTCGCACACCGTTTAAAACCAGTTTTGAAGAACGCAGTGGCAACTTGCTTGGTACGGTGTGATAGCTATATTTTGCTAACTCGTTGATAAATACGCTCTTAATCAGTTTAAACCCGTTTGCAATTAGTTCTACCTCGTTCTCAATATACCCTTTGCATTCGTTTGACTTCACTTCTTAAAAGAGAGCTTCGTCTTCACTCTTTCAAACTAAAATAAACCTGTGAACTCACCGCGCCAATCAGTGTTCGTCGGCCAAATTTGACCGACGTTCTATATATGGTCATTCCTTCTGACGTCATCGTTGAGCCCGGAATTGACCAATAACATGCGCATATTTAATTAGAACGCATTTGGCGTGTTTCTTCAAGCTCGCTGACTGGTGGAAGAAAGGTCAGCGCGTAGATCAGAAGTGATTTATGACACAAACTGTCACCGGTACCCGCCGTGGGGGCGGGGCTACTAAACTGTAATATGGTCTCTACCATAACTAGACTCTGCATGCAGGGTATTCTCAATACGTCCTCACTACAGTTTAACTCGCTGTAAAAACTCCCTAGTAGGATTGAAGTACGATGGTTCCGTTCGTAGTACGTTCAGCTCGTCGTTAGTAGGTTGTCACTCGTTCTAATTGTAGAACTTGACGACCAAGAGATAATTTTGAGCATATTCTAAGTTCTAGAGGACCTACCCGTCCGAGTACGTTCGATGAAGTTTGGGAATAGCCCCCAAACGGTTCTAAGTACGTCCAGTCCGTTCGTACACGGTTGAAGCCCGTTTTCGAGAACGTAGTGAGAACTAGTTTGGTGTGATAGTAGGGTTACAAATGTGTCTCTGTTGCAATCCTACTTCTTGAAATTTTAAAAGGTTATCCTCACATCACTGTCTCCATGCTAGCTTTAGGGACCCATGTACCTCCAATTCATAGTTATGAAAATTGTGTTTAAATGTTTTCTTTGACATGTCTCTTTAGTCAGGAAATGCATTCACATATTAGGAAAACCTCCGTCCGTACGTCCGGGCAATAACTCAAATACCGTTGGCCCGATTTTGTCCATATTTTGGACACATACCCTATGGGGATAGAAGTGCTGCTCGAAAGCCGATTTTTAAAATGGCCGCTCATTTAAAAATGGTGGCCATTTTAGTGCAGATTTTACAGTAATTTAGGTGCAATATGTAAAACTGTAATAGCAATATGTTTTAAATGTAAAAAAAATATATAGGACATTAATAAAGCTAGAAAGCTAGATATTAAAGAAGCACATGGCAGCCATCTTGACACTCTTGGTAGAAGGCGGCCATTTTGAAAAATACCAGTGTCACTGTACATTTGCTTTACGAGGGGCGTACGGTGTCCATAGCTTTACAATATCGATACAGACGATCTACAGTCTTCATCGTACTGCTTATCCCTATATTTTATGCTGCATATTTCTTTCGATTTTGGGAAGGTACGTGTACACCGTACTTTTGTCGCCGAGATCCAATGTGACATAAGAACAGACACGGGTGTGGAATTCTTAAAGACCTCGGATGGGAGAAGTTAGCTGAACGACAAATATATAAAATGATATTCACACATCTCTTATAATGTAATAAATGCTTTTGAGCAATCCTCTTCAAATATTGTTTGGCCAGATGTGGGTCCCTCGCACCCACTGAACCCCCCCCCCCATCTTGGCTCGCGGATGGGAAAGTAACGCATATAGTATTTACAGAATCAAATTTTAAAACATTTACCCTTCCAATAAATAATGATATTATGTTTTGAGAAAAGGAAAGTTCTTTTTTTAAGAAAGTAAGTCTGACATTCTAAGAAATGGGGTCACCATGGGTTTTC